GTTGTTCTCTCAAAAGCTAAGGAAGGAGCTGAGGCCATAGAGAGAGGCCAGTGAAGGCTCTTGTCGTTTCGCATGAATGGGCTTGTCGTTTTGCATTTCAGACATATTTATATTTGTATTTATTTTTTAATTTTTAATAGTTGAGTTGTACTTTTGTACAGAGGAGAGATCAATAGAGGCACGATTCTTTTTTCAACTTTTAGTATTTTATTATCTCTTTTTTTTTCTTTCATTTTAAAATTTAATATTATTTTTGTAATTTTTAAAGCAAACCCATGGGAAGAGTATGCAATGGAGGATTAAGAATCCGATGTTGGAGGTTGAGTTGTTTAAAAGATATCCCATAAATGAGGTGGCACCAAATCAGGCAATTAATAATAGATCTTTATAATAATAATATATAAAAATATTCATTTTTTAAATACAATTTATTTTTCCCTCTCTCTCTTTTTAGATTTAATTGAAAGAAAGATGGTACTTTTATTTTACTATTTTCTATAAAAATAAAAGGGAAATGAAGAGACTAGAAGTCTATAACCATGGTTATTGAGATTAATTGGCCTTTGTCAACCCAAGCATGGTAAAATTTATTAAATGTTTGAAAAAAAATGTTTGGAAAAAAAAATAAAATAATTGATAATAAGTTCATGTGAAATCTAAAGGTACGATGAAGTTTAACGTTTCTAATGTTGCAATAAAATATAGAAAAGATTTCAAATTAGTTGTGCCATGTGTAAAGGAATTCTATTATTATTTAAACAAAAATATTTTTAGTTTTTATGTGGGACCCACGAGTAAAATTGATCAACTAGAATCCCACATTCTCTCTTAAATTAGAGATTTACTTTTTCGGGTGGGGATGAATACATCCAAATATTTGTATGAATTCAAGAAAAAATGAAAAAATATATAAAATTGATTAGAATGGAATAGAAAAAATAATAATAAAGAACAAGAAAAATTAAAAATAAATAGAAAAGTCATACATAATTTAAACGGTGAAGTGGAAATTGTTAAGAAAAAAAAACAATAAATTTAGTTTGAATGGAGAAATTTTCAAAAAAACAAAAATAGAAGATGAGAGAAGTWAGTGAATTTCAAAAAATAAAAATAGAAGATGAGAGAAGTAARTGAWGATGTAAATAACAATAAAGAGATAAATAAATTAGAAAAGTGAAAATAAATAATTACATCTAAAATATTTAATAAGAGAGAGGATGTACAATTAATTTAGGAGAGAGAAGGTTGAATTATGGTTGATCAATTTTGCTTGTGTACTCCACATAGAAACTATAAATATTTTTGTTTAAATAATAATAGAACTCTTTTACACATGACACAATTTGAGTTGAAGTAGTATGGAAGTTCTCCCTACTACGGGAGGATCGGGAAAATTTAAAAAATTGACAGTTTATTATTTTCTAAAAAAAATTGATTTTACATTTATCTCTCTTAGTTGTCAAATATTTAATGATGGTCAATGAAAGATAATCTTCACCAGTTAGGACTTGAGTAATTTTTATAGAATATATAAGTAATGTTAAGTTTAAAAATGTTTATACCCTACCAAGAAGAGTATAGTCAGTAGTAAATGATATCTACCCATTTTCTTAAGAAGTTTAAATTCTCGTACCTTCGAATTTGTTATAGAGTTTAGACCCAACATTTGTTTTACTAAAAAAAATCTAAAAATACCTAAATGTAGTAATCATGATTGTCTAGCTAAAACATTTTTTTAGTACAATATGTGGACGGTTAGAATTCGAACTCACGATAATATTATCATTGGACACATATATCCTAAAAAGAAAATTGGACAACAAGGTAAGTTGACCCGTCACATAATTATCTAGTCAAATAGTAACAAAAAAGGAGACATGACACCACAATAACTTTATATATTGTGATTTATATGATTCCATACCTATACAAAGCTACATAAGATATGATCAAATTTTACATGGTGTTATATCAATTTCATTAATATTTAATTGAATAATTAACATAGAAGACTAAAATGATATATATAAAAAATAGGACTAATTAGGTCAGAGTTAAAATATATGTAACTAACTAAAAAGTCGTTATCACTCCAACATATTGTTGTATAAAAGATTAAATAAGAGAAAAAAGAATACAATAAGTATAATTACAATTAACCTAATTAAAATATCTATTTTTCTATTTATTTATTAAGCTTTCAACCAAATTTATTTGTAAAATTGTATTTTAATTTTTTCCACTTCTAAAAGGGCTGATTTCTGTAAATTTATCTTTTTTTAGAAATGGTACAAGTTTTTGCTTCAATCCTTATTAATAAAGTAAAAGTTCCCTGTTTTTAACCACTTTTGGCATTATTTATAAGAGAGGTCCCACAGGAATAACAAAAAATCCAAAAAGTTAAAAATAAAGTAATTATGTTTGTTACACTAAATACAAACCATTGGAAAGACCATCCTTTCTGAATTGCCATAAGCCACTATATAATTTTGTTCAGATATCACATCCAAAGAACCAAGCAGTCCACAAAAGAAAGATTGAAATTTGATTATACAAAGTTAACTAACTAAGCACGTGCCCTGCCTCCTCCTGTGGCTGATCTCATTGATGAACAAATTTTCCCTTACAATACAAACACTCAGCACATAATCTTTGGGCAACCAACTGCTTATCAAAAACAGAGACAGATCAGAAAACTCCAGAAGCACTTCCATGAAACCACCTCTATAATTTAAATTATCATTCTGCTGCAGTTTCTTCACTGGTTTCAACCTCAGCTCTAATGTCTGGCAACGTATCCAGATCCACCCGTTCGGTTACATGGGAATCGTTGGAATCAATTGGGTCATCTTGAACCAAGTCCTCGGTATGATTTGCAGAGTCAGAGCTATCACTGTTTATACGGGATTCACTGTTATCTTCTGATTTTTCGTTCTGAGTAGCTTCACTATTCTCCAGTGTCGTTATTGTGGACGGTAAAACATTCCCCGGTTCGGTTGTTTTGTTGTCTGAGCTATCACTGTTTCCACTGGATTTGCTGTTATCTTCTGATTTTTCGTTCTGAATAGTTTCACTATTCTCCTTTGTTATTGTGGATGGTAAATCATTCCCCGGATCGGTTGTTTTGTTCTCTGAAACAGTTGGATCCGTGTTGCTAGTGATATTTAAGGCCTCACTCTCAAACCCATTTGGATTTTCATCTTTAGCGACGTTTAGCTGAGACTCAGAATTGATGTTCTCCAAAACTGTGTCATTCGATGACTGAAGATATGTTTCATTCTGAGCAGTCAAACCATCTGTGGTTCCATTTTGAGCTTGATTCCAACCAATATCTGTTCCATTCTGCTGGGAAGAATCAGTATTCTCTACCGTATTTGTCTCAGTAATTGCAGAGGATGTACTATTGCTTGGTTCAGGTTGATCATCGGACTGAGTGGTCAGGACAGAATTTTGGACTGAACCATCAGTAGAAGTGGAAGTGTTGTTATTCAACTTCATATTCCTGAGACTCTCATTGGTTGAAGTTGCATTGTCAGCCATTTTATCCACTTCCTCGGTTAACTGAGAACTGTTGTGAACCCCTTTAAATTCCTCGGTGTCAGTCGATCCACTGTCCTGTTCTTTACTATGTTCCGAGTTATCATTTGAATTCTCTAAATTTGCTTCCTCTGTCTCTGAGGTGGTAGAGTGGGCATCATGGGTCACTGCACTGGAAGCATCGTCACCCTTGTAGTTCTCCTCTCGTGCCTCGTGAGTGCTCCGGTCGCTGCTGTCATTCTCCTGCTCGTCAGAAGAATTCTCATTATCTCTCTGATCCTCCTTATCTCTCTCTTGGCTTCCTCCCGCTCCCTCATCACCATCTTCTTTCAATCTCTCATCATCCACAATATCACCCTCATGATTGGTTTCGTTATCTGCCTTCTCTTGATCATTCTCATCTATGTCATCATCTCCACCTGCTTTCCCATCATCATCGGTGTCCTCTTCATGCTTGCTTTCTTCATCCTCCTCATTGACTGCCTCATCTTTCTGTTCTTCATGTCCCTCTTCTCCTTCATGCTTCGAGTCTTCTTCCTCACCTCCAGTCTCTTCTTCCTCATCTTCCTCCTGCTTCTCACCCGGATGGACTTCCTCAACGTGGGGTAGGCCTTTCCTTCCAAGTAACCTATCTGTTCCAGGTTTCACAATGTCCACACCGTCCTGAGTTTTTACAGTAATTCTATCACCTTTCTGGTCAAATTCTTTCTTCTTATCATGGGAGCGTTTCACCTGATAAATTAACCAAAAGCAAACACCAACCAACAGCACAATCTGCAGAATATGCTTAACCTTGATGCCTTTCGACCTGCTGCTTCGACTTGGTGATTTCTTCAACATGATGAATTTCCCCAGCTGAAACCCTTATATTTTTACTTCTTCCTATTAAACAATCAAATGTCAGTAATTTAGACACATTCTACTTCAATGCAACTGCACCATACACTTTCAAGAGCAATGAATTGAAAAATTACAAAACCAAATATTACATTAATATTTTAGCTGTCCAGATTGCACTCGGGATCTCACAGGGAAATTTCAGAATATGGCAGCAGAAATATGGGACAAGGCCAAGGAAAATAAGAAAAAAGGATAGTAATATAAGCGAGAAAGAAAACAATGTTGTGGTACTGATTATATATCCAGAGGAAATTGGCCCGATCAACTAACGCCAATTGGAGTAAAAGTTAGTCCATTTTAACCAAAAGAAAGAAAGCATTAGTGAACTACTTAAAATTAGTTGTAAATGAAATGAGACTTCATTGGCTTAACCCTTAATGCATTTCTTGGAGCAACCAGGGATGGAGATAATACCTTTAATCCTTAACCCAAGCTTGGATAATGCTACTATTTTATAAAATCCTAACGTACAACCATAGCAATCCAAATTAACTCACCACGAAACCCCTTTGCAAGATCCACCGACTTTAAGAGTTTGGTCGATTGATTGATCGTTAAATAAGGCTAGAAAAGATTGAGTAGTTCAATTTTGTTCAGTAAATATAATGGCAATACATAACCGTGGAACCTCTTTTCTTCCACAAAAAATATCTTTTGCTACTCTTTATCTCCCCTTCAAAAAAATACACCCAACACACTTTCGCCTCTTTTCAGAGTTCGAATTCTCAATAATCCATAAAAGAACAGAAATTCACGTGATATAGCACATGTAAAAAGCATTCAAGTTTTGTACACCCTTAAATGCTAAGTCAATGCAGTCAAACTGCAAAACAACTATCCATTAGGCATTAACCAAGAATCAGAAGAAATTACTTCGTTTGGAAAGCAATCCTTAGGCCCCCAAAGCAACTTATTTTCATATCTCACACGACAACCATATGACCCTACTGCATTTTATTGCCAGGTAAATCGTAAGATATTAAATCCTAAGTAGATGACCAACATGGCTTGAAAATCTCCAAACCAGCTTATAATAACCATAACTAATCACGAGACAACAACCTAACCCATATCATTAGGTCATTTACATCTAAGTAGGTAAACATAATAGTATGAAAGGTATCGAGTTTACAACTTGCCCATTTTATAACTTTGTTGAGCCTATCATATAGATGGGAGAGTAACAAAAATAAGATGCAAAGTCCCCAATAAACCTTTTCAACCACAAAGAAATTTCTAAAGGAGACTTAAGATACAATCAAAATCATATTATTCAGACCCACATCATGTGCCATATCAATCTCCAACCAGGCAAACCCGAAAGGCACACGGAACCCCCAAATTTGGAAACCAAACAGAAGATTTGCAAGGATCAAAACCAGCCCTAAAGCACAAGTAAAGACCAACAGAACCCCAAATAAACCCATTCTTGCAAACCCATGTTACTATTAAAACCCCGATAAGTCCCACATGAACCCTAATCGAGCACAGATAATAAAACACCAAAATCAGCCCCCACAATCTTCCTTCAACCGAGGGAAAGAGACGGAAAATGCGAAAAATCTGAAGGGTAAATAGTGCCAAGTAGATGCGGAAAGTCAAAGCTCAAGAACCGAAATGAAAACTCGAAGGCTAAACAGTCCAGTCGGAAATTTGAAGAGAACGGTAAAAGATAGAGAGAGAAAAGGGGGCAGGTGGAAACTGAAAGTACCTGGAAGAGGATGAACCCGAGCTGGCAACAATGGCGAACGGGAAGACGAGCGAGATGGGTGTGGCGGCGATCAGAGGATCTTCAAGGTTTCGGCCATGGCGGGAGCTGGAGGAGTATAAAAGATCGCGTAGTGGGAGAGAGATCGGATCCAATACCAAGAACTAAGAAGGACCACGTCGCTAGAGCAAAAACAAAAGGGAAAAAACCGTCTACTCTGCCACTACTGCAATTTTTTTTCTCTCTTTTTTTTTTTGTAATAATTTAAGAAGAAAATCGAAAAAATAGATAAAATTTGTGTGAGGATGGGATGCAATTGCCTGGCCTTGGAAAGCAAAACAACTGTGACCCATTAACATCCATAAGCCATAAATTGGAGTTGTTGGCTGATCAGAGTTTAAAAGGAAGCATGAAAAAGAAACTTTTCTTTCTTTTCGTGGAGTCGGATGAAAATTGTGCATGGTTGGCATGATTTTGCTTTTAATTTCACCAAAAAGATCTCGTTCAATGAAAATAATTGTACTCATCTATATACCATGAATTATGCTCTTCCTTAATCAATGTAGAATTTTGTTTGCATTCGTGTTTAACCTCTGAAAATAGAGATTTGAACTTACTACATTTTAATTAGAGATAAAATACCTTAACTAGATGAGATATACTCAAGTAGAAGTATTTCAAGTTAGTGGAGGGTAGATGTTTGAAATAGTGCTATATTTTACCAGTTCTATTATATTTAAATAGTTAAGACATATATTTATTTTTTTAAATTTCATTCCACATTCGTTGAATTAGAAAAAAAAAATCGTTATACTACCTCGATAGGAGAGAGAGAAACTTTTTAAAGATTATGAAAATCTTTCAAAAAAGTTTGTCCTAAATTTGGAGAATCTTGAATTAAAACTTTTGAGTTTTTTTTTTTAATTATTTTATTTTGGATGTTAGAGATGGAGAATATTTTTATCTATGATCACTTTTTTTTAGTATAGCAATACGTGTAATTTGGAGATTTGAATCCACGACTTTTCATTGAGAATATGTGTCTTAATTAGTTAAGTTAGGTTCAGATTCATTGTTACCTTTTTATTTATTTACAACTAATTTAATTATCAACCTTAATTTAATTCAATTAGATAAGACATGAACTTGAACTGGTTAAGAGGGTAAAAGGTTGCTGCATTGAGGGAAAAAAATAATAATTTAATTGTTCTCTTCATATAAAACAAAGTGGGAGTAAGTGACCGTTACAAGCTGTATAATGGTGTCTGTTGGATGGCTAAGTTTCAGTTAGGTTTAGCTGGAAGGTAACCTCGTGAGCTGCATTGGGCTTACTACTGTTGGGCTTAAGTATTGGGCTTGGGCTTACTTGATGTTTGGGCTTAAGTATTGGGCTTACCTAGTTAGCTAGTGTAATTGGTCCACTAAGTCATACTGGTGTCCCAACTCTCCAAGACCAATCTCTCTCACCCCACTTGGGTTGATTACCAAAAAAATTTCAATAATACCGGAGTATCATATTCTATTTGTTAATGCTATGATTTTATATTTATGAATAATTTTTTAATGTTAGTGGACTCCACATAAATTTTTAATGCTATATTGACGTGGCAAGCAATGAATGGAAGAAATATTCATACTCTCGATTTTGATTCCGTGAATTATTATTTTATTTAAGAAAAATCTTCCCCATAATCCATGTACTTCATTTTAATTGCTGGATATTGTAGCTAACCTGAACATAGTTGTTAAGACATATATCCCCGATCAAAAATTTAGATGTTTGAATCCCGATCTTTAAGAAAAGAAAAGAGACGTTGAGCACTAATTTAACTAGAGAGCGATAAATTATTTGGTTGTTGGTTTAAAAAACTTAAAAGCAGAGAGTAAATGCAGCAGATTAGCATAAGCAAAGCACTCCATTTGCCTTAGGTTTTGGGTTTTTTTTTTTTTTTTTTTCTTAATTGGATCAGCTTGGTTTTGAAGATACTCAAACCATCACCTAACTGCTACAATAATTAATATTGTTAATTAGTTAAATGGCTTTATATCTTTTCCTTTTCTTTCTTTTTTATGTTCTTTCCCCACTGCTAAAAAAAAGTTCTTAGTTTTAGGATCATAGGTTGTGATAGGAACTTTTAGCCATCATTTTTAGTTTTTACAAATTAAATTTGGTAATTAACCTATTTTATTTTTTTCCATTTTTCTCTAACTTTCAAAAAATCCAACTTTATGAACCTTGGTCACATTTAAAAACTAAAACTACACAACATTTTTTTCTTTTAATGAATGCAAAAGACACATGTTCGTACAGCTCACGAGGTTAAGGATCTTTTCAGCAAATATATTTTAGTTAGGTTCCAGCTAAACCTAAAATATAAAAAAAAAAAAAATTTATTTAAAAAACAAAGTCTAAAATTGTTATAGAATCCTTCTAGAGGTTAAGGATCTTTTCAGCAATATGGACCATAATTTTCTCATATACAGCTCTACAAAAGGAGGGAAGGAATCAACTAAAAAACTTTCCCAAAAAAAAAAAAAAAGTTCAAAGGAAACTTGAACAATCAAGTTATTCTATTAATTAACAAAACAAATATTATTTCTTGTGATAATTTTGACCAAAATGCACTCATAAAAACACATCTTWCAAGAATCTAACAACCAGCATTTTTCTTTGCTTTCCCCTAAAGATATTCTTTCTTAAACAGAACTTCTTTGCTTTCTATTCTCATTTTCTTTTGTGGGCTTTTTTTTTTTTTTTCCACATCTTATATATAAACAGCTTTCACATTTTAATTTGTTAACCCACCAATGATCATGAGAGGAGATCAAGAAAAAGCCATGTATGAAAGTGTTAAAACTATCATCTTTTTTGGAGTTTTCATTGCAAACTTGCTTCAATTTGCAACATCTTCCGTCATTTCAACTGGGGACTTCAACAAGGATTTCTTCATCACTTGGTCTCCTTCCCACGTTAACACTTCGGCGGATGGCCGAGCAAGAACCTTGAAGCTCGATAAGGATTCAGGTACGGGTGTTCAAGAAACTCGATGATCACTTGAAAATTTTYGTTCAAATTAAACCAATAATCTAAATTGTTCGAGTCGATGAGTTAGTTAGGTTATTGGTTTATACACATGTTCGTATGTTTATGAGATTAACTATTCCTTTGCCTCCAAGGGACGTACAGCCCGATTGACAAAGGGCATGAGACCTCTTCGTCATCCTGGCTTAGAGGTCTCAAGTTCGAATCTTCTAGTGAGTTTAATACCAAAAATCATTATATGTCTCTCGAATCCGAATCTTGAGTCGGACATAGGTGCCTCTAGATATAAGGGAGCAAAATTCCAACTCACAGTTATAATTCACTACTCCTTTATTTGTTCACTGTAATATATCATTTTTAGATAAATTATTCAAATGTCAGTATTTTTGTCATCCATAGGAGCTGCTTTTTCTTCAAATGAGATGTTCTTATTTGGTCAAATGGACATGAAAATCAAGCTAGTTCCAGGCCATTCTGCAGGCACAGTTGTGGCCTATTATGTAAGTGGTCGTTTTCTCCTTTCATGTTTTTTAATATATGATTCTTTTTTCTTATATTATATATATCAATGCTAATATTACTTGAACTATGTGTAGCTAACGTCGGATCAACCGAACCGCGACGAAATCGACTTCGAGTTCCTCGGGAATGTGGACGGGGAGCCATATATTCTTCAAACAAATGTTTTTGCTGATGGTTTTGATGACAGGGAAGAAAGGATAAAGTTGTGGTTTGATCCAACAAAAGACTTCCATACATATTCAATTTTGTGGAACCGTTATCAGATTGTGTAAGAAAATCACTTTAATTTTCTTGCTTCTTTTTGGATTCTGCATTTTAATTCCTCTTTTTAAGCCTACAAAAACCCATAAAAAGTTGACAAAAGTAGCATAACTTTGAACATGGTGGATGAGATGAATGTGAAGGAATTAGCATTAAGGTTGATAGTTAAGAAAAGATTTTACATTTTAATTTAATTACTACATTGATTAAACAACTTAATTTGAATAGGGGAGACCCCTATTGTTATTGCTAGTGTCTCTCTCAAATTAATGTCACAACTTTTTACTATTGAATTTGATTTTTCTAGTTAAAAAGTTTTTGAATTAGACACAATTGAATTAATTTAAACACGTTCACCAATCATCAAACTCTTAATAATTTTTTATCAACCTAAACATAGGTAAATAGATAAAACCATCATAGGTTGACTTATTGGTCAAAAGAAGCTAGGGTTAATTGAGACGGGAAGAATTCAAACTCACGATAGCCACTTACYTTAAAGATTAGTAATTCTTATGTRTTTCCCAACACTAAATGTTGCAAGATCAAGTGATTGTTTTATAAGATTAGTCGGAGAAGTTACTAATATCTAAACGCTTTAGTCACTTTACATCTCTAGAAAACTCAACAAATCAAATCTTCTTCACTATAAAACCATTCCAATTTTCTTGTTTGTTTTTTGTTTTGTTGTTGTTGTAGGTTCATGGTGGATTGGGTGCCAATCAGAGTGTACAGAAACCATGCAGACAAAGGGGTGGGATATCCTAGGTGGCAGCCAATGAGCTTGAAAGTGAGCCTATGGGATGGTGACAGCTGGGCAACAAGGGGTGGAAAAGACAAAATTGATTGGTCAAAAGGGCCATTTGTAGCTTCTTTTGGGGATTATAAGGTGGATGCCTGTGTTTGGAGGGGAAATGCAAGGTTATGCAGAGGAGATGATCATAGTTATTGGTGGAATTTGCCCAAATACAACACCCTTTCACCTCCACAAAGAAGGCTCTTCAAATGGGTCAGAAACTACCATTTGATTTATGATTATTGCCAAGACAACTTGAGGTTCCAAAACCACCTCCCAAAGGAATGTTCTCTTCCCAAGTACTAAATCCAACCGAACCAAACCGTACCATTTTTGTTTTCGGATAAATTTTGGATGTTTGATCGTAGGTAGGTATCCACTGTTAAAAAAATTGACAAAAAGGAAGAAAACATAATACATGTAGCTGTCGATTTTTAATAGTGGTAAATAGAAAGATACCTACCTACTGATAAGCATCTAAGTTTTATTTCACTTGATTACTTTGAGTTCCTTTTGTTATACATTTTCTTGTATTCTTTGATTTCTTCGAGTGTGTTCTTTCATATTGTTCTTTTCTTTCCATTAACTTAACAACATTATATTCATTGATATCTTATAAAAAGTCGTGAACTTTTTAATTAATTATAGATTTTTTTAGTTCTAATACAATGTAGGATAAAGACTTAGCCTCCAACCTTTCGATCATGGATATATATCTTAACGTTGACATGAGTATAGAATCTTTATCATTTCTACTCGAAGATTAATTTGATTAATTATGTGTTCAATTAGGTTTGAGCATTTTTCGGTGGAGGTAAAATGAATTTTTTTTAATTAATGATTTTGTTGTAAATAAATTAGTCTCAAATTGTTTTTTTTCTAACCTTTTTTGATATCCCTATTACTTTGGTAATTTTCAAGTTTGTTGCGCAAAATTGAGTTTAAGATAATAATACTTGTAGTTTTTGCAATACTTAAAATTTTTTATTGCAACAATTTCATTGAATTGGATGCGATCGTAATAAGCTCTATAATCCATCAAAGTGATTTTTGCAATTTCCCCCCTTTAGTTACAAATTATGTTTTTATTTTTATTTTTAAATATTACGAGTATCCATCCATATTTGGTTGTTATTTTAAAATTGATTTCTTTTCTATATATATGTATATATAATTTTATTTTTTGAAAAGTTTCCATATCTAAATCTAAACTAAGTTCTTTTTTTTTTTTTTGAGAAAAAACTAAGATTTCATTTTATGTCTATCATTTGCTCGTTCCTCTTGGTTTCAATTGCAACATTTTATTCTATTATTAATTTGTTTCATTTTTTAGAAAAATATTTGTGCTTATATTTACAGTTTTGTTACATTAATACCATAATACCATTTATATTTTAAATATTAAAAAAATTTTAAATTTAATAAATATGGGGTGAGAATTTAAACTCCCAACTTTTTGGTGATGATATATATGTCTTAATCTATTGAGTTATACTACAGTTAGCAAATATTAAATTATTATTATTTAATGTTGTCATGACATTTCTATTGAAATATCATATAGATTAATTTTTTAAATGCTATACATTCATTCTCACTTCCATCATTTTTTTAGTAGAATAAATATATAATAGAAAGATTTGAACCTCCAAATTTAAAAGAAAGCGAGTCCATATCATCTTCTACTAACCTAGCTAACTCAGGCTCATGTTTGACAGCTCATGTTTGGCCACTTTCATTAAGTTATTAGTATATTAATAGATTTTTGTATGATTAAAAAATTTGATTAGGGTCATGCCTGATCAACTTGGTTCAGAGGCCAAGGTATCTAACTCTCTCTTTCGAAGTCGGGGTTCAATCCACCATTTGTATAACTACTAAAAAAAATTGAAGGGTCATTAGAATTTTGCATCTTAGTGTAGTTAATACACACATTAATCATATTCACTAAGTATATATCATTTTAGAGATACCAATAATACAAATAAGTTCAAACTAACCTACTTAAAATATTGTAGCTTTCAAATTATCTAATAATTTAATTTTATTCAACTAGAAAAAACATGGGATATGTGGTCCAATTACAGCTGTGCTAACTTTTCAACAACCATTAAATACATAGTTTGGATGAAAATCGATAAAAATTATATCATCATGCATCTAATCATTATGAAAGAGTCTCAAGAACGTTGCATCAAATATATTCACTCTTTAACTAGTCTTTAGAGGGGAGAAGCATAAGGCCTTTCTCCTATATAGTTTCCGGGAGGATCATAGTTGCATACAACAAACTGTGACAATTTTGGACAGCTCACTCGACTGCATCCAAGTCGCACGGAGGTGCGCCAAACCACCTGAGTGTAGTGTCCACAATCGCCTCTGATGCACGAGTTTGAGGCGTAGTCGTACTTAGGCTTCTCGTCCACCCACAACTTCACGGCATCGGCCCCAGAGAACTCGGGGTAGTAGCCTGCCGCAATGTTCTCACCATATGGCCCCGTTGAGTGAACCATGGCACAATCTTTACTCCTTTCCTGAGCGTAGGCCTGAGCATAGGCGGCGACGGTGTCGCTCCATACCATGGGACCGACGCCAACCCCGGCGCGAGCCCGGTTGTGTGCAGCTAAGTAGTCTTGAGGGGAGTTTTGGGCATGAGTTTGGGAGAGGAACAATAACAAACTGGCCAAGAGAATGGTGATCATTAGAGGATTTTGAAACCACATTTTGGTGAAGATTGATGAGGCTGGGTGAATGGAATGATTTATATAGATGAAATGATGAAAAGTTAAATATGGAATGTGATAGGGAGAAGATGAAAAATGGACATTAAACGTCTTGATTTTCCTTTTTAATGGCCATTTCAGGTTTTATTATGTTATTAAACACAAGATTAGTAATCCAACGTTAAGGCATTAAATGGCCATATACCATGCTTTTTCTTTTGTTCTTTTCACGGGTGGCGATTCAACCTAAGGTAATTGACAATTACCTACTGATTAATTATATTTGGGTTCATAGTCATATTTCATGTTTTTCTAATACAATAAATTGGGAATATGGAGATTCGAACTTCTAACTTTAATAGAAAGAATAGACGTCAATTATCGTGACGGCAATTATATTTTATATTTTTTTCTTATAAACAATCATATTTTCATGTTAATTGTACAAGTTTTCGGTTAAAATATTATTTTATTGACTTTCATTTGATGTATTTGTTTGTGTTATTTTTACTCTTCTTTCCGACTTGTTATCACGTACAATATGCATATAAGAAAATAAGATCTAAAGTATAATAGTATATAGGTCGTTCAATATTTAAAACATCTCTACTCTTTTTTTTTATATATATTAGAGCGATATTTTTTAATGAGTAAAATTAAATGAATATTTTTTTTATGACATAATTAATCTAGATTTCTAAACTTATCTAAAAAAAAGACGGAAAAATAGTCCCAAATAGCTACTTTTTGAGATATTATTTAAAAAATAGCCGCACGTTCAAGTCATTTGATATTTATTACCTCTTTTTTCTTTATATTTGCTGTGCCTTTTAGTCAATAAATAGCATTTAAATATTAATTCATTTAAATATAGTATTTGTTATGCATATCATTAATTATAGTTTAATATTTATTTGTAGATTTTTGTATGTTTTAATATACATTTATGTGTACTAAAAAAATATACATTTATGTGTTTCAGAAAAAAAATATATATATACACATTTATATGGTAAGGTTTTCATTTAAGAATCTTATTATGATTATTCCATTTATATTTATTATTCAATTAACATTTTGCTCTATCTCTATAAAAAAAAAGAAAGTTGTGAGTTGAACCTACCACCCCACATGTTGTATATTTACATGAAATTTAAGCATCTTACAACTATTTATATCTTTTATTTCTTTTTTTTTATAAATATTGTCAAAATTGTATTGAAACTTTAGAAACAATAAAAACAAGTTTATGGTTTCTCATTCCCGTTTCTAATTTGTTTCAACATAAATAAAGATCTTATTTTATCATCCTTGGATCTATAGATCTTGAGAGGATGCAATTCTATTTTTTTTACCGAAACATTACCAAAATGGACCCAAATTTCTTGTTCCCATTTCCAACCATTTTTTTTTTGTAAAAAATAAAAGAACAAGAAATAGCTACCAAATCCAATTATGTTTTTCTTTATTAAAAAAAATGAGAACATTAATAAACGGGCCCAAACTTTCTTGTTAGTCATGTAATTCCAGGATAGAGTGGGACAATCTCAATCATACTCGATAAAATAACCTTTCGTGTCTTAATTCGTTGAACTAGTTGATGTTATGGTGTTGTGTAGTCTGAGTTTGAGTAGCCTATATTTGAGGTATCGTGTGGAGGGTGTCTCCAAACGTTCCAAGCCCTAATCTCTAGGTGTCACAACTCACGAGACAATTCTTGGAGTATAATTTTTTGCGCTGGATTTCACCACAGTGACACTAGGCCACCCTCGCTATACACTCCATGGCTATCAAATGAAAGACTTTCAGTATCCAAATTTAAACACAAACTTATATCAATTCAATAATTTTCCCATTGCAAACAATCAACTAGATTTTCAAACCTGATAACCAAGTTGAGAATACTAATTTGCAAAAGGGAAGAATCCTTCTCTTCAATCCTATCAAGTTCCAATAAATATGATCCAAAAGCACTTTTAACAGATCAAAAGAATGCAAGCGAAGGGAGTTAAGGGATGAATTATACTAACTTCTAATGTTATATAGATGCTGTATGAACAAGTCGTTCCATGTATCAGTGAGTCCCGGCAAGCACCAGTGCATGCAGTCGTCGTGCTTCTTTCCACCAGCTGAAGCAGGATGTGCATCTGCTCTCAACTCGCTCATGGGAGTAATGTTCAAAATATGGAAACTGGTTCCATTGAGGACCTTGAAGAGGTGCTGGTTCACAAGACGCACCTCGACATTGGTTCCGTTATTGCTCAGCGAGAACAGATCCTCGGCCTGGAAAGGAAAACTAAATCTTGAGATGGTTCACTTCACTCAGAAGATGTCATGGAAGAGGCACAGAATAAAAAGTGTATGCCAAGTAAAGATTTCATTAGAATATAGAGAGTTGAATCCATCACCTGCTGTGAAGATAGAGGCTGCTGCCGCTGACAAGAACCACCTTGGTACCAGTCACCTCCTTCAAAATGCCTAGGCGATTGCGTGCGGAAGAATTTAATTGCACCAGGCTTTCTTTTCTCCACGTATGATATCTACGTTGAAGAACAGATCATTCATGAAAATGAGAGAGCACAATTCTTTCCTCGTATTTTGTACAAGGTCAGTCATTTCCTTGCTTGTCAAGGATTATAGATTTCTATTCAGTAAAGATTGTTTAATTCAGGATGAACTCAAGGTTCTACACATACGGTCAACTTATACACATCTCAACTGATCCAGTCTTACAATTGGGAAGTTTTTAGAATATTCAATGTCCAAAAGTAGGTGACCACCAAAGATCAAAGGTAGACATTGATGGCACTTGAATGGTGTATCTTGCCCCTTTGATTGCTAGTAGTTATAACTTAACGCCGATGCAATACAATTCATATTAAGTCATGCCAGACTGTGTAATTCATTGCCACTCCATCCAGTGATCCAGAAAATTGAGTTGTCATAAATTTGAGTAAACAACTATGACAACTATTTAAACTACACAATTACAACTTAAAAATAACTCATGGTGATTTATAGTTTGTAATTGAAAATAGTTACACCTATTTGAACAGGACTGGATCCCGTACCAAGTTTGTAGGTTGAAAAGTTTTCTGAAAATAATTCAGCAATTTAGCTCACCACAGTCTAGAATAGTTGGCGAAGAATTGAAATCCAAGAAATGAAGAATTATGTACCATATGTTTCAAAACCATTTCAAAGCCAACATCAGGAGGTACTGGAGGGATGACAGGCTGATCCTTTTCGAAGAAAAGCATGGGTGATTTTACAGGGTCAAATTTTGAAGGCGCCCACCACCTATTTGAAGCAAACAAAGAAGTCCAAATTATGTATCTACAAAATCAAATACATGCAAACTTGATTGTCGATGAACTCGAAGGAAATATTTTGTTAAGAAAATCAAAAGGTGAGTGTATAGTTGGACTAATATAGGATATCAACAGCATTCTAATCTAGTCATATCTTATTTCTCTTGCCTGCTACGGTTGAAATTCCCTACCATCCAGATTATAAAACATTACAATAGCAATAACAAAATTCTTGATATTGGCAGAATTTAGAGCTATCACGATGCGGATCTCATACATATCCATCATATTTCTTCCACATGCCAAAGTTCACAAAGTCAAACTTAAAAATGTAAGATAAATAAATCACCGGAGTCATACGTAGTATGATGGCCGAAATGAATTGTAAAAACAAATATAAGTACCAGTGTCCTGTGTTAAAGACTAAAATGTTATGGAAATTTGGAGCCTCTATCCATGAATTTTCTGGAATGTCAACATCAACTCTGTATCCTTCTTTATATCCCAGAGATTCCAATTTACCACCGTCAGCATTAGCTGACCACCTGAATCAAACAGAAGCAGGAACAAATAATGTTAATTGTTAACTGCTAGAATGCTACTAAAAGAAAAAAGTGAAAAGTAGGATGCAAATGTGAGCACCTAGCAAATTAATCAATCTATAACCTTTATACGACATGGAATGTACTTCAGAAAGAAAAATAAATTGCAGAATGTCTAAAAGCTTTTTCCCAACGGGAGTAGCACATGGCTTACAGACACATTGTTTAAATTGGATTTTAAAACAATACATCTTTGGAATAAAGTTAAGCAAGATGCTCTTCAAACAAATGATTGTAACTTCCTGAAATATAATTGTCTTTATTGATAAACAAATTTTTCATGAAAGAATGAAAAGTACAAAAAATAGAGGGGAAGTTATTAACCCACTTCAGACCAAACTACTAAGAGCTTCTCTCATCACTTTTGGGTGAAAGAGCAAAGAAAAAAGTCAACCTGACATTCCTGATTTTTCTTCACTTCCTGAAACGGAACCTACGAAATCCGCTTTCTCTGACAAAGGAGAAGATTTGATGATGCCCTGACAGGATGACAGTCAATTCCAAATTCACAACTCCTATTCATAAGAACATTTTGTTCATGAGCGAAAGACCAAATCAATCCCTTCACTGAGCTCACTGTACTCTTGGCTCATTTCATCTCTCCAATTTTTCTTCTCCGCTCATGAACAAATGAGATGCCTAGTCCAAGAATGATAAGAAAAATGATAAACAGAACATTACGTGTAACCCCGACAGAAACAAGCTAGGTATTATGCATATTCTGCAAGGACCTAACAATTCCTAGGGGCGAACAATATCCAAATTTCTAACCGAGTGAAAGATGATGAAGAAACAGAAGATTTTGATGGTTACAATAAAATAATTGATGGTAAACGACGAATTAAATTGGTCACCATAACACATTACTTACCAACCATATCGAGCCACAATATTTGTTCTATGATATGCAATAGTAAGATTGTACTTCAAAAATGAAAATCCACGATCAGCACCAGCTGGACGCCACTTCTTCACTTCACCCGGCACACTTTTCAGAGAACAAAAAAGTGAAACAAACATGTTCCTATTTAAGGAGTCGCCAACAAACCCTGCACTGCAGAACATTCATAAAGTCCATATCCAGCATGATAGTAAGCATAGATTGAACGAAGATAAAAGCATTCAACATGTCAGGAATTCGGATAAAAGATTAAATACAACATATCTATCAATTTAACCTTTTGAGTTCAGTGGCTATTTAAAATGGTACAAAAAACTAATAGGAGTAAGAGGTACTGTGTTCGAATTTCCATAATATTATCTCCTCACTAATTAATATTAATAGTCGCTTATAAGATCTTATACTAATTTTCAAGCTGAAATGGAATTAAAAATATGTATAAGAGAGTATATCATAACCTATCAGTACTTATAGAAATGGTAAGAAAGTCCAAGATTATGTTACAATTCGCAACATTTTCATACGTGAAAACCTCTCGGCAGACACATCTCGGAAACTATGAACGGCCAATTTCATGTTAACTGCAGACTGAAATTATCTACAAAACGAAAAGAGAACTTGGCAATTTGAACTAGGCTACCCTCAGGGACGAGAGAAGCGCTTAACCAAGAAAGTGCAAACTTCTTTCTATGCCTACTAGAGCTCCATACGAGCCAATCGCTTTAGTTACTCAACAGTTAAACACAAGCAAACATAAGCACGAATCAATGCGAATAAAAGTTGCAGCACAGATAAAATGGAGACCAAGCGAGTACCAATATTAGTATTTCTAAACTTCTCGAGGAAGGAAACCGGATCGAAGTGCGGGAGATCACAGTGCTTCGGCTTCCAATGCCACTTGACGATTTCGAGAGCGTTGGATTTGTTCGCCGCAAAGCAGTTCCAGCCTTTGAATATCTCTTTGCAGGTGTGGTCGTAGCTGGAGGATCTCGAATTCGGATCGTAGAACCAACTTCCATCCGTGTAATCGCAAGAACTGCCACTATCAGCTTTCGGTCTCTCGGCATTGCTGAATTGGAAGCTCGGATGCGATTGTGGAGGCACGGAGGTTTTGCGGAATACCGAGAGAGCAAGAAAAATTGAAACAAAGCAGATAAGAGAGAGTAAGGGGAAAAGAGGTACTTGCTTCGCTTGGTAATGACGATGGTGGCTCTCCCTCACCGCCATGGCCGGATCCGGAATTCCAGCTTTAGAACGCTGCCATTTTTATATTTTCTTCTTTGATGATTTTTCTTTTTCATTTTTTTCCCATAATTAATGACAGTTTAGAAACATACTTTTAAAATAATGTTTTATTATTATTATTTCTAAGTAAAAATTGTGGTTGTTTTGGTCTTTTGATAAGAGATTATCTTTTCCAAGTAAATTTTACTCATCCATTGCCGATTGAAATCTCCTCGTCTCTGAAAATATAATTTTACCAGCATCAAAATAGTTAATAAAATTTTACAACATCTATCTAGATAATCATTTTGCAAGTATTCATTTTGTTGAATCAAGAAATTGATCAACTCCATGAACGTCGGTTCGGTTAGGCTAGCACTCCGATGTCAAAGTCAACAAAAATCCGAACTTAAATTTAGAGAGAATCAAAATGTTCGCGTACCTCAAAATGAACGGAATAGTTCTATTTATAGGAGCAGATCTCAACAGCGTTCGACTCGATCAAATGGATGAGCCGAAATGTGTATACTTGTATGCTGAAATCTACCTCCAACACATATTATTGTTATCTACGATGGACCATTAATAATATATATAGTAGTTGAAATCTACCCATTATATTATTTCTAAAAAGAATCTGGACATTATTGTTGTAAAAAAAGAAATCTAAACACTGACAAACTACAAAAGAATTTATGTGTAAAGCTATGGCTCTGTAGATACAAAAATATCTAGTAGCATACTGAAACACAGGTCAACAACTAGTTTTAGACTTAAATAAAAATAATTATTCAAGATTGTTATCCAGTTGAGGCGAGGGTGGAAATGACTTCTTTGTCTTCATCATTGTCACCTATTCCATTGGTTGTTAAATTTCGTTGGATCAAAAAGGGCGGAGGCAAGGCCTATAATTATATAGTGAGATTTTTTTTTTTTAATATAATATGTGGAGATGGAGGAATTAAACTCATATTCGAACCTAAAAATAACTTCAACAATGGAATTTAGGACATTTTTTGAAATAGTAAAAAACAAAATGATTTCTGGAAAAAGGAAGAAAGAAGATAAAAAGAACTAGTTAGAAGTGGTTTTAATATCTTACTCACATCCCTATTTCCACTAGAAAGAATTGAAATACGGATCCCATTTTGTAAGCATTCATATTTACAAGGGGAAAAAATTTAACAGAACAGAGGACCCAAAAACCATGAAGCAAACTCACGCCAGCATTTTCAACTGATAAATTTATCAAACAGAAGGGCTGAATTTTCTAGAAGACTAAACCTAAAATGAACTTTTTATCAATTTACTAAACTAAAATGAACGAGTGACTCTGATAAATTAACCAAAAAAAGTTCAAATTTTTTCAACGGTTTGATCCTGACTTGACTTGAGAAGAAGGATTTGGCAGGCTGGTTTATATGAGATATCCTTTAAAATCTTTTTCAACCTCTTTTTTGCAGCAACATTCTCCTCCAACTTCCTTTGAACCAAATACCTTCTCCACCAAGAAGGACTTCGGAATTTGGCCTGCATAATTCACCAACAAATAGGAGACATATGGTCATTGCATTAATAGGTGCATTAATAGGCAAACTTACAATGCGTGTGAAACTAGTGATTTCCATTTCAATGACCAGTTCCTTAACTCGAGCCTCAAGGATCGAATATCGAGTATCAAGAACACCTCACATTCTACATATTGGTATGACACGAACCATGCTGAAATTGCATAATCCAATACAACCTTAAAGTCCCCCCCGCTTGCCTCCCAACTAGCATACATTATAGAATTTGTTTGTGGTTTCTTGGCTCTACCGTTTTAAAAAATTTTATGTGAGTGCGACATAGAATGACATCAAATTGTCTAACGGTCATGGTACATGTTCATTCGGCACTTTAATTTGCGTGAATCAAATTAAAATGCCTAAAAATTTAAGGGGAATAAACTTGAAGTTCCACAAGTCTTACCTGGCGGCTGTATCGGGTAAATTCTGAAACTGGAAAACCTGGATAGCCTGCATAAAATGATAAAAGTGAGGGAGGTAGCAGCATAACATTGAAGATCCAGCTAATAATACCGCAACACACTAATTGAGATTAAGAACGTCAGAAACTGTGATAGAGTTAACTCTGAGTTCAATCGTTTTGAATCTCAGCAAAACAGAACTCTAATGATGAAATAAGGGATTTACCAGCATATATGATAACACCTTCACTAGATACCCTCGTCAACTCAGCAAGTGTGCTGTTAAGGTATCGTGAAGACAAATATTCCAAAGTATCTGAAACTACAACATGAGAAAAAGAACTGTCTCTATAGGGCAGCGGAAACTTAATATCAGCAACACGCACAATGCCTTGTTGGACGAGATCCCTGCAGTCCGAGTCGTTAGCATCAAAGCCAAATGGATCCACACCCCAAGCTTCATAATCCTCTTCATCGAGAAATCCAGACACTAGTGAACAAGTATCAGGGCCAACATATAACACTTTGTTCATGATATCATCATATACTTCCCTTAGTAAGGGCATTGTTATTTCAACTTCCGGAGTACAAAAGCCATGACCTGTCATTATGCACATGCAATATTAAATATCTGATCGATTCCTTGTCAAGGAAGACGGGTGTTTTTGTATGTGTTTGCAGTTTGTATACGCTTGCAGAGCCACAAATATTTTTATATCTTTCCTTTAAAAAACTTCATTCATAATTTTTTTTCCACTCAATGAGGTTCTCCCCTTCTGTACTTATAGTTCTTCCTGCTAAATAAATAATTTTTAGAAATGAGAATGATCGAAAAACAAACAGTACATTCATGCTAATAAATCTTTATGGTTATTCTCAAGGGACAGAGTCCAAGTGTCTAAATCAGTGAAGAAAATTCAGCTGTCTAACTTATTCAACCTCGATGTTGCTTTCTCTAGAAATGATCCAACCAATAACAACACCAAATAAACAATTCAGAAATATATATATATATATATATATATATTTGAATTCATCCTCCATGAACATATAGAACTTTAAAAAGTCACCAATAACTTACTGATCAGTCTGAGAAATTCCAGACGTATTACAGAGTTTAATATCACTAATCCTATCCTTAAAACAGATATTTTTAGTTTCAGACAAGGTCAAAATCCAATTTGTCATTTTTATTCAGTCGACATAGATGGCGCCCTATTGCATAAAAAGATGCTACTTTGTCGCTGTGGAATTGCCACCTACTAGAGAATTTTTGCATTAAGAGACCATACTAATGCGAAAATTCTCAACACTGCACACTGCAATATTATTATTCTAACTAGCGAAAGTCATTGTACAAACTTCACTAACTTCAAAAAAATCAGACGAATACCTTCAAATGTATTCACGTCCTCTATGTTACTTGCCTGCCAAACTGCCATGTGAATAAAAAAAGGAGAAAAATTAATATATCCAGATTAAGAAAGAAAATACTAAATAACCTTGATGGCGATTTGAAATTAGAAGTTCAAAACAAAAAGTCTGAGAAAAAGGGTTTGGTTTTTTTTCTTTTTTGGCTTCATTTAAAAAATAATCATTTTGATCATTTCCGTTGTTTTGACCTCAAGATCTGCCCCATCCAACACCCACCTCAGTTAACCCATGTGACTGCAATACACATGTTCATATTATTAGTAGGTTCATATAAATATTCAAAGTTATGTCATCCAGAAAAATAAAATTAAGAATCAAAATGGTTATCTTTTGAGAATACATAGACAACAATAGATGTTTTAAAAATTTAAGAACCAAAATGGGATTAAACCATGACACCATCAATATACCTTAGGCATCAGACCAACTTAATAAACTCAGCTACTGGATATCTAAGAAGTAAAGAAATTTGAATCATGCCTTATCGATTAGTAACAAAAACGAACCTGCTACGTGGTAGAGATATCCTAGGGAAAGGACTGTAGCCTGAAATTTTCAGAAAACAAGTAAGTAAGATTTTAATCTTGAATTAGATATTTTCCAGAATTAAACAAAAAAAGTTCCCCGTTATAAGCTGTTTATAGCATGGAGATGTATAATCGTAAAGAGAAGGTACCATTGTCAGAAGACCTGTGTATAGTATAAGTGATGGTAGTGACCTATAACGAACTGAATTTATGTATCGACTAACGCCACGAGCAGCATAGCAAAGAACTGAACTTTTCCTTATTGACATCACGTTTAATAGCATGGAAACTTCGAAGCCGCCCATGGACTGAGATAGAACTCTGTATGAAATAGTTTCCAGTATTAAAATAACTCGAATTTCTATTGAGTCCATCACTTATTGATAAAAAAAGTCTCACTCGTACGTTTTAGCAACAAAAATAAAACATTAATTAAAAGATTGTGGGGGTGCACATGTACTCGTTGACTCATAAGTCACAAGTAAATCAGTACCTCTTTAGATTCTCAGTAAAACTTGAAAACTTATGACAACCACAACATTCGTCTATTCCTCTTTTCTCTATACATAATGAAGCTCGAGCGATATATTTCAACTACCACACAAATTAGATGTGATGTAAACCAATTTACGAATAAAATAAAATGAACTATAAATTTTTGGGGTTAATTATGCCTCAAACAAAACCAAAAAAGTATAGCGAGCACTGAAATCACCAAGTTAAGTCGTAGCCGAGAAATCTAATCACACTATAGTCTGAGCAAATGTAGCGCAATCGCTACAATGTATCAACTGTTCACTATTTCAACCAGAATCACGTTCCCTTCCAGTTACAATAAAGACTCCAAACAAAAAAACTGAACAGTTCGGAAGCAGAAGAATGGCGACTCGTGACGATTAAATCAAAGAAAGCAAAGGAACAGTGAACCATCAAATCGAAATAACTACAGAATCACGAGGAATCTGGTAGAGTACTTACTACCTGAGGCGGAGGAACTCCGAAGAAAATTGCTACGATCCTGGACTTACATTCAGATTTTACAGGACGATTCAAATCTTTGCCGAATTGATTGATCTTTTGGTTCTTGAAGAAACAGAGCGCGCGAGAAAGAGAGGGAGAGAGAAGAGCCACAGTTTTATGTCAAATTCATTAATGGCTTTTTTATACCTTGCGGTTTTGTCGCAGCTCACGCCCCGAAAACAGGAGTGCTCAAATAAATAAAATATAAAATATATATACTAATACTAATCTCAGCAAAATTATTTTATTTTAAAGTGTTTAAATAAATAAATAAGTGAAATTACTCTAGAAAATAACCTTTTTTATGTTTCATATTCTAGTTAAGACTATTTTGATTTGGTTTAAAATAATATTTATTGAGTTCAAATTTGAACGGAATAAAATGAAATCAAGTTTTTGATTCAAAATTATAATGGGAGTGCCCATAGATTTATCAATTTAATAGAATCGCGTTAAATAGTTAGTAAATAAAAAGATACATAGAAATAGTTTATAATTTATCTAAATTGAGTAGTTCGATTTTTAAACCTATTAAATTATAGATTCACATGTATTAAATTTTGAAGAGTCTAAGTATTGATAATTGACCATCATATTTTTTAAAATTATCAATACTTTGGTGAGGTGGGTTGTATATGTTTTCATTTTTCCTTTAAGTTGAAAAGTTTGTTTGTTTGTTTTTATTTTATTTTATTAAAGTAGCTTTTTGTTAGTATTTAGTTTTGTTTTTGTAAAAGGTTTATCCCATGATATAATTTATTCTTTCTAATCTATGTTAAATGAGCAGATTTAAAAATGATAAGATGTTAGTTAGAGGTCCTGGTTTAAGTAAATCGCTATCTACCACTCGAATTTGTTGAGTTCAAAATTGAATGAAATAAAATGAAGTTTTCGATGATATATCGAAGTGAATCATGTAAAATAGTTTGTAAAAAAAAAGTTGATAATGTATCTAGATGGAGTAACTTAATTAAAATATATATATATTAAAATATAGATTTACATGTATTAGATTTTGAATAGTCACGTATAGATAACTGTTTTTTTGTTTTTTTTTCAAAGGACTATTCTATTTTTGTTATCATTTAATTATTATTGAGCAATATTCATGTGGATTGTTTTACAATTTTAGATTCATTATATTAAGTTCAAATAATCTACTCTTTAAAAAAAAATCTTTAAATTATTGTAAATCTTTAAAAACGCTATATGAAAGTAGTCACCCAATGAAAATTCCATTGACTGTTTGAATTTTAAATTAAAAAATTAAGATAACCTAATTAGATTAGATAATCTACACAACTAATTTCARTTTATGCGATAGTTTGATTGAATTGGAGTTGTTTAAATCTTTTAATTTAAATTTTAAAAATAGACAAGGACATATCTCCCTACTTTAATATATAAATTAAAAAACGAGTTAAAAATAAAGTTTTAACATTATTAGACTTCCATAAAATTTGATGTAGAGTTATAAAAATTAAATCAACGTTGAAATCACGAGTTGGATAGGGCCTTTTTTAGAAGATATGTTGAAAAAGTTATGAACAAATAGTTTAAAAATGCAATTTTCTAATTTGCATGTTTAAAAGTGGTTTGAAACAACATTTATTAAGCTTCGGATTTACTGCTAACTTTAACAAACAATAATAATAAATAATATGATGAAAATAAACTTATTCAATTTATGTAACTAAATTGCCATGAACATTACTCAACTCCTCTTAAGGGGTCGTACTCTTTTTTTTTAGGTTGGAGATTCGATCCCTATCCCCACATTTGGACATATTATCTCAACTAAAAGGATAAAGGATAGAAGTTCAAAGCTTGTATCGTTGAACTCAGAAACGAAAAAAAAAACGCATGGCTTTCAAATCTCACAGAAATTCACCCAAATACCTGATATGAAGAAATCCTCAAACATATATAATCATATAATCACAGAAATTGGCCAAAATATTTCTTTAGAAAACCACTTGACATTTCACATCTCAATTCATTTAGTGTTTGTACAATTATCCCAACATGTTCAAAAGAGAAACAGAATAATATCTTTCATTCCATCTACCCCAAGTTCACAAGGAACACTTCCACATATCCATTGCTGCTGCAACAGTCATAATTCATAATGTAAAAAAGCTACTTTTTTTTCCTTACAAAGAGAAATTCAGAGAGAGAGAGAGAGAGAGCATCTAAGAGCTTTTCCTAGTTAGAATATACAGAACACTCGGGATGCAACTTTAATTTAGTTTAAAAGTGAGATGCAACTTCTTCAATGTAAAAATTGCTCAACTTATGCAAAATTCCGACCATCTTCATCATAGAGCCCTGTAACCAACAAATGCATAAGAGAAATCCAACCCAGCAAGAGTTTCCTAATCTCACTACTCTCAATAATCTATAATTAAGATACAATAGCTGCGGTACGCGGTACCTGAAGGAGCGGAATAAAGCTTCCTACAATGATCGTGGAGTCTCTTATTTGTGGCGTTTGCTTTTCTTTGATTCTTTCCTCCTTTTCTCAGATTTATGTTTAGACTTGTGGTCCCTGATATGTTGCCTGTGTGAACTTTTTTTTGACCTTTTCCGTCGATCACTGTCAAACTCCTCTTCAGAAGAGCTGTATGCTTTCAGTGAACTAGGCTTCTCTGGTTCATAAACAACATGTCTATCTGTAACATTCGAGCTTGTTGGCCAACTCAAATCTGTCTCGTTGCAAGGGGCAAGGTATGGACCAGTTTCGTCCATCCGTGATCCAACTGCCCCTCTGCCACGCTTAGCCCTGCCAGAGAATGCGAAAACTGATGTCAAACCACTAAAAGATTTCTACAGTCACTGATATGTTATCCCAGTCAAATTAATCAAAGCATCTTAGAATATCATATCACAAACACGATGGAGATTTGAACCAACGATCTCTTAGTGAAAAATGAAAATAAATATGTTTTAACCATTGAACTATGTTTATGTTGGCACATTAATTAAAGCATCTAACCAAGGTACGAATAGACTTGGATTTGCATTAGAAGATAAACAAACAGACAAACAGAGAGAGAGAGAGAGAGAGAGATACCTTGAGTGTAAAAAGACCTCAAGTTCTTCATCTTTTAAACCTTCATCTTCCATTAAGTGGCAATCTTCAGAAACTCTTTTACTAGGTGGGCTTGAACTACTGGGAATGTCACGATCGAAATCTCTGGATGGCTTGAAGCTCCCCCGGCTCCTAGAGGCACTGTGCCCCTCTCTTGACTTGCCTCTAAGCCTATCATCCAGTTCTATTTCCTTTTGCCGAACTCTCCACATTTCATTCACTTCCACGGCTTTATTAGCTGTAATTAAAAAATATACATAATATCAGCTTGAAGCCAACTATTCAATTTGAAATCACTCCTCAAACCTGATCTTACTCCAAGAAAAACAAGGTACAAAAAAGACCAGTCATAGTTTTATTTTGATCATGGAATAAAACCAATAAATTTCCTAGAGGCTTCATATCATAAAACATGGAGATCATGTAATAAATAAATGAAAACATTGGGACATCAGTTGAAGAAAGAACCTTGTTGTACACCAAGAACAGTTGCAGTTAGGAAGCGAGAATTTGGACGACCCCTGACTTTAGAATGCCGTAGATAGGCCTCCACGCCATCTTTCTCAGCTTGACGACGCAGTTCCGCTGCCTCTCTCATAAGAATTGCAGCTATTCTATTTTCTGTCTGGAGATCCATTTAGTCACCTGAGCAGGTTTGTTACAAAGTGGGTATGGATTAGAGTCATCTTTATCTTTACCATGCAAAAGAATGAATCAAATGAAACAACAACATCAAATCAAAAGATATATTTCCCATATGTAGGGGGGAGTTTTCTCGAGACTGCAAATACATAAAAACCAAACAAGACATATAAATGTACAATCAGTTTTCAGACCAATAAAGGTAAATGCCATCATGCTCTTCAATGACTAATTCAGTTGCCAAACCACATGGAACATCTCATTGTTTTCAGTAAGAAAATGAAAATGTTTATTCTTGTACCAGGTTTTCATTAAGCATCATCCGTCGGACAGTTAGTAATACGAGTACGAATACTATTGCTAGCCTCCAAATTCTAATGCTATGGTTAAAAGTCGGCCAAATGCCCAAAAAAGGAACTTGAAATTGCAAATAAATTTTGGGTTTTAGCCAAACTATACCTCAGCAACTCTCTTCTGCAAAATTCTTTTGATCGGTATTTCTCTTCTCGCGATCCTCTATCGAATGAATCAAGAAACCACAAGCAGCTTACTTCTTTGTGGATTAATTCTCTCCCGTCGAAGGAAACTCCTGGAATCGAAGAGGAAGAGCGGTGCAGCAACAACTAGGGCTGAGAGCGGAGACGGGCAGATGCAGGTGAGGAAGAACAAATGGAACTGAAGAGGGAGAAATCGAACTCGATCAAGACGATGAGAGCGGAGATATGCCCTCTCAGTAACCCTAGCAAATCTACCGGTCAAAACTTCGAACGAAGGGTAAAGCTGCCGCCGCTCGCCGTCGCAGATTTTGGGTTAGTAGAGTAGTGCCGCGTGGATCTGCTTGCGCCGCTAGAGTTGTCGCCGGCGCTTGCTGCTCGCCGGAGAAGAAGGAGATGGGGAGGGGTGCAGATCGAAAGGAAGAGGGAGAGAGAAAAGGGGAAGGAGGCTAGGGTTTCAAACGGGAAGAATTATGACCTAATAAAATTATATTATGACCTCATAAATAAGAGGTTCTTAGAGTTTCTTCTCGTAATGTTTCCTCTTTTCCAATTTTAAAACCCAAATAAACTCCACAAACATTTGGGGAATTTAAGATAGTTATTTGATCTTGGAATCCAACCGGAAAAATTAAAAATTTAAACTTTTGAGTTCTAATATTTAATTACAAATCTCCTAAAAATATTCAAAAATTTAATTCATCTAAATTAATGAAACCAAAATTAAAACTAAATAATTTAATTAAAAATTTTTAGACCAGAAGAATTAAAATTTAAATTTACCGCAACATATAAGAATTTCAAGAGATAACTTATCAAAATTTAAATTTACTGCAACATAAGAATTTCAAGAAATAGCTTAAAAGCTAAATTAATCAAATTATGACATTATTAGTAAGTATGTAATTTAACATGAAATATTATATTATCTCACTTTTTTTCCGTCAGTTTATTAAATTTTGACGGCTTTGTCAATTTCTTAAAACTTTAATAAGTTTAAGTTACCTAATAAATTCATAATTATGATGTGATTTTATATTATATTATGCTTTCGAAATGCTTGTGAATGATTAAAAGTGTTTAAATGGCAGTTTACGCTGTTTTCGTGTAAAGAAAAGGGTAATGAAAAACACGTGGCTTCTTTATTTTTTTAAAATAATAATTATTATTTTTAACATGAAACGACGCCGTTCACGCTGTCCAAATTTAGGGTTTCAGTGGCGCTTAAAAAACCGGCAACTTCCCGCCGTTCGGTAGTCGTGGAGGGTCCTCATTTCACTGATCTCTTTTCTAGTTCATACGATACAGGAAAAAAAATGTCAGCTACGCACAGCTTATCTTCCGCTGCTCTCTCATCGTCTTCCTCTGCTTTGTTCGCGCATTCCAGTTTCAATGCCAAGTATTTCTTCTTTCGATTTCGTTTTGTTTTTGTCAGTCATGGAACTGCTGTGCGTGTATTGTTTCGTTACGTAGAATTTCGTAGAAAATTAACTAGTTTCTGCTGCAGGAATCCGACGGTATCATTGCCGCGAAAAAGCGCCGGCGTTTGCAAGTGTGTTGCAACGCCCCAAGAATCCAAGACAGGTATTGCACAAATGACAGTTTGTTTTTGAATATAGAGATATATGAATCTCCCATTTTGATGGAAAAACATGATTTCCATACTTCGCTATTTGCGGAAAGAATGTGATCTTAGTAGTTTCTTTCTTATTCTTGATGTTTTTTTTTTGTTATTTCTTAAGGTTACAAAACAGCGGTCTCTCGAAATGCGAACTTGGCCAAACTTCAAGCTGGCTACCTTTTCCCCGAGGTGTGTGGTGCATTTTTCTCAAGGTCCTTGTTCTCGCTGTTGAAGAATTGGCATGCTTGAGCCTTTTATATTTCTTTTCATCTTGGAATCTCGATGTTATCACTTTGTATTAATTTTAGCAGTAATTTTATACATGTATATCTAATAATAGATCGCAAGAAGAAGATCTGCACACTTGCTCAAGTATCCTGATGCAAAAGTAATTAGCCTTGGAATTGGTGACACTACTGAACCTATTCCTGAGGTTATTACGTCGGCCATGGCAAAGGTACGAATAATTCCCTGCTTCTGGTTCTCGTAACTCGTGTAAGCCACAGCGAAGATATAGATTTCTGAGTAGATGTAAGAATAATGAACCAACTTTGTCGAGAAACAGTAGTTTTCGGGCTAGGATACCCGTTGAAGTTGAATTTTGTTACACTGTTCGAGAAGGAAGGTTCGTCAGAATCTTTAAAATATTTAACCTTTTATTGTTATGAAAATATGGGCCTTCTTGCCTGTGATTGGTCGTGTCTTTTCGTATCGTCTGGTAATCTTAATTCTGGATAAACTCTTGTCTATTCTGTTATCTGTTTACCGTGGGAAGGGTACTGCCATATCCTTCCCATTGAAATTAGTCCCTTCTTTATAAACATTTGCATGTAAGTTTTGTTTCATTCAACTGAATTCACTGTGATGTTAACCAACTCCGCTATGAAAGTTTACTTTCTATGAAATAAAACTATTCTATGGTGTCCAATTTACTCATTACGACTTTTTCCAATTGTCTGCACTGAGCTGGAGGGTTGCCTTGGAGTCTTTTTCATGCAAGAAGATACGAGCCTCCTGGCAATAATGCACTTATTTTTTTTTTGTTGTTTTGTTGTTGATGTCGTTGTTAAACAGACTGTTTTTATCTCATTTATGACTATACTGTTTCTTTGTCTGGTAGAGATCACATGCATTGTCCACACTGGAGGGTTACAGTGGCTATGGATCTGAGCAGGGCGAAAAGGTATTCAGTTGTTGAAAATATTTGATATACTTATGCTGAAGTTTCTATATTTGGAAATGGTTCTCTCATCTTTGAAGTTTCACACAAATATATATATATATATATATATATAGAAGAAACAATTTCATTGATAATATGAAATTACAAAAGTGGCCCATAAGAGGGATTACAGAAAGCTTTTCCAGCTGCATACAAGGGTAGAAAAGCTATAGTTGTGAAAAAGGGGAAAGAACTAAAAAGACTATAGCTTCCAAAAAACGTTCAAAGGAGAGTTCTTTTCCATTGAAGACCTGCTGGTTCCTCTCATGCCATATGACCCAGAAAAAACCTCTGTTAAAATTCATCCAAAGAAGTTTCCTTTCCTTTATAAAATGGTACCCCACAAGAAATGTTTCCAAGATAAGGGGAGGGTCAACCGGTAGAGCAGTGCTCCATCCTTATTGTTCACTGTACTGTACTTTTGCCCTAAACTAATGGGATGATGGCCTCTTTTTGAACTTTGGTCCTAGTTGGAGCAAACTTTAGTCAGTTGTAGACTTCATCCAGCAAAGCCTTGGAGGCCATGCTTTTATAGGATGAGCTAAGGTCTAGTGGGAAAATGCTATTGTGATTGGTCTTTGGAAGCTGTGGAAGGTGAATTACAGGAGAACTTTATCCAATTCTTATAGAGACCTTGGAGATATCTTTGATTTAATGTACTCTGTACAGAACTTTGATGTGTGGTCCTCTCTCTTGAAAAGTTTTTATAACTACACTCCCTTTTCTTTTGTACCAATTGGATATCTTTTTTGTAATCCTCCTTTTGCTTGCGGGCTTTGGTGCCTTTTTGGATAGGTTTTGTTTTTCCCTATTTCTTTAACTAAAACTTTCTCTCTTTCCATTTAGAGAAAAAAGGTTAGCGTGATCAAATAGGAAACACAGGCCAATATTGTGAAAGGCACTCAGCATTTCACCTGCACCTCTAAACAATCTAAGCACGTTATTTTGGCTTAAGTCAAGCAATGTGCCTGAGTGTGGCACCGATGATACACTTTCAGTGAGACGCATTATGGATTTTTCCTCCCAAGTTCTTTATTTTGTTGCTTGCCTCCTTGTCATCACTTTTTGTGTCAATTTTGGTAATTTTGCTCTCTCTCTTATTACTTATTTCTTTATTTCGTATCATAAACTTTTGCTCACTTTCTTTGATTCAATAATATCATGTTAAACGTTCTACTTGAAATGATCATACTCAATAATGTTTAGTTAAAACTTTTGATGAATTTTTCCTTTTTGTCGTTAATTGTTATTTTGGGTTGAATGCTTTGGACTGTTTGTATCAGAGATAATGTATTCTCAATATCGCATACCTAGTCAAGCATGTGCTTTCTGGCTAGGATTTCTTTCAGAAATTTCTGCCACCTTAATGCTCTTATAGTTTTAATTTATTAAGCTGACAGTAACTGGTATACACTTCATGAAGTATGGTAGGTGCCTATTTTGTCATTTTGGCATTGACTTGATAATTTGACTTCTTTCGGGTAATTTTTTTTCATGATTGAAAACTCTAATTTAGTTGTTTCTTTGTACAGCCAGTGAGAGCTTTAATTGGCAAAACATTTTATAGCGACCTTGGAATAGAGGAAGATGATATCTTTGTCTCTGATGGTGCAAAATGTGACATAACACGTCTTCAGGTATGGTGTTTCAGTTTGGAACAAATTTCTTCCTGGATATTGGTTTTTTGTGTAATCTTTATATTTTAAACAAGAGGTTATCTTAATGTTGATCATCAAACTTAGCAGGTAGCTTGACTAATCGTCTTGTTACAATTTAACATCTCTTCCCACTTTTGGCAGCTTGTTTTTGGATCCAATGTGTCTATGGCGGTGCAAGACCCATCATACCCGGTAATTTCCTCTTCTCATTGGTGAAAATTTTAGATATTGAACTGGTACACTTATAATATTTTGCCGTCCTACCTATGTATGAGATATTTGCTTAAATTGGGCGACGTATTGCTAAAAATATGAAGTTCTTATTCTGTTCAATCATTTATCTGCGACTCATCTTTACTCTCTGCAATTCACATTTGCATTTGCACAATTAGATAACTTCACTTGTAGGTTTGGTAATTTTAGCTCACGGATAAGTTCATTGCAGCTCAGGCAATAGATAATACTATAATTTGTTTTTAAAACTAAGAAAAATATGTGAGATTAGTATTTTTTGTCACTCTATTAGTCTGTCTTCTCACTTCTTGATTTATGTTTTTTAGGTAGTTATGTAGTAATATCCGAAGGTGTGCATTGTTTAGGCTATAGAACTTCATACCAACCCTCTACGGATTTTATTTCTAATCTATTATTTGTGGAACTGTAGGCTTATGTGGATTCGAGCGTCATCTTGGGGCAGACTGGATTGTACAATAAAGATGTTCAAAAATATAGCAACATTGAATACATGAGGTGTACTCCAGAAAATGGCTTTTTTCCTGATTTCTCTAAGGTTCCCCGGACAGATATCATATTTTTCTGTTCACCAAACAATCCTACGGGCTCTGCTGCATCTAGGGAACAGTTGACCCAACTGGTGCAGTTTGCTAAAAAGAATGGGTCAATTATAGTTTATGATTCGGCATATGCGATGTATATGTCAGAGGATAATCCAAGTTCTATCTTTGAAATTCCTGGAGCGAAGGAGGTAAATTTCATTAAGATTACTTCAATTCTGCTATTGGTATTAGACTTACATTTTAGGTACTTTCATTCCGATTGCCAATACCACCATAATACATTTGTCTCAAAGTTTTCAATCTTTCAGAGTTCAAAAGTGTATCTTTGGCCACCCTATTGTTATGTACAAACTTGAAAATCAAAATGGTTTGGATGCGACCATCCACGAATGTTTTTAGCATATCTGCAGGCTGGAGCAAATTCACAATTCTAGATGAGAACATGTAGAAGAACAAGCTCTTTAAAATTAGGAATAGCAGGCATAAGAATTTTCTCTCAAGGCACTTTAGCTCGAATCTCTCTTCAAATGGAAAATTAATGTCCAAAGGAATTAGTAGAGATGATGACTGAGTAGGGAATCAATTATGCCCTTAGAGAAGCTTGAAATAGCAAGAAGAGATCTAGTTGTAATAGATATTTGGATTTTTAATTGGCTGATTTTTTTCTAGATCTATGTTCTTAAAGTTCAAGAGTTTTACTTTTTGCAATTGAAAATTTTCGGTGCAATTTTCGGTGCAATTTTCTCACTTATTAAAGTTTGTGGGTTTAATTTTTACTATTTGAATGTTCAGGGGTCCAATTTATGAAAGGTTGAGGGTTTAATGGTTTAATTTTTGTAACAAGAAGTTCAGGAGTATAATTGTAACAACTGCTAACTTGTTGGGTGGGTTGAGCAATTTACCTAAATTACATTAGACTTTATGATAGATATTTGGATCTTTAATTGGCTGATTTTTTTTTTTCATTATTTATTTTTCCTTCATTGAGGAATGATGGCCAATATATGTCATACGGTTGAGGTATGTCCCGCAATCTATTTTTTCATAGTGCAGGTTGCGATCGAGACGTCATCGTTTAGCAAATATGCGGGATTTACTGGAGTCCGTCTTGGTTGGACAGTAGTTCCAAAGGAGCTCTTGTTTTCTGATGGATTTCCCGTTGCTAAAGATTTCAACCGCATTGTTTCTACTTGCTTCAACGGTGCATCCAACGTTGCCCAAGCTGGGGGCCTGGCTTGTCTTTCACCGGATGGGCTTGAGGTCTGCAAATTTGGAGCCCTTTATTGAACGCAATAAAATTCATATTTGACATCGGTGCAACAAATTACAACGGAAATCATGAAATTTATTGACTTCTACTTTGCAGGCTATGCGCGGGGTTATCGGGTTCTACAAAGAAAATTCTAGCATCATAATGGACACATTTAACTCGCTTGGATTCAATGTGTATGGAGGGAAAAATGCACCATATGTGTGGGTTCATTTCCCTGGCCGGAGTTCGTGGGACGTATTTGCTGAAATACTGGAGAAAACACATGTCGTGACCACGCCTGGAAGCGGTTTCGGACCCGGAGGTGAAGGATTTGTCAGAGTAAGTGCTTTTGGTCACAGGGAAAATGTTCTGGAAGCCTGCAGAAGATTCAAGCAGCTGTACAAGTGAAAAGGGGGAAGTGAGTGATTCAACTCTATGTTGTTTCTAAGATTTGTCTTTGGCATTTCATTTTCATTTGAAATGTACAGAGCGTTTCAGTTTTCGTTGGAGGCGTTTCTGGGCATATGGGAAGATTCTGTGGGTTTCATTTAAGAAATTGCATTTTGAGATCTGTATTAAGTAACTGGGGTATCTTTCTCTCTTTGAATTAATAAATTTATGTTATGTCACTTAATTAGCTCAAGTTTGATCGATACTAAATGTATCTTGGTTTCGAACGTGTAATCTTATTTGTTGCTCTCTTATCCATCTTTTACTATTCTTATTTTAGAGTTTTGTTAGGAGTTATCTTAAATACGTGGGAGTGGAAATTCAAACTCATGATTTTTTATCAGGTACACATGTCTCAACTAGTTGAGTTATATTCGATCGAAGTTGTTTCAACTAGTTGAGTTATATTGGATTGAAGTTATTTTTATATCCTCTAATAAGTGTAATTTTTTGTGATATTTATTGGAAATATTTAATGAAACAATTAGATGGATCACAATAATAAAGATAAGACTAGATAAGACTCGTGGAATTTGTTGATTTGATAGGATTTATTTATTTTGAAAAGGGATTTAACAGATCTATTGATAAAAAATTATATCACTTTGATTTCCACAATGTCATTTTTTTTGTTTGAAAAAAAAGTTATATTCTTCTCAAACGAAGTAGAAGTACACCATCAAATGAACTGTAATTTGTTTTTCAAATCCATTCTGAATGTACTTCTCAAACATGATACTTATTGCATTAATTACATTGTACAAGTCTATACGAATTTTCACCTGCACCTATTATACTAAAAAAAATTAAGTTTGTACATTTTCTAAACATGTGAATTAGAAATAAAAAATATACCACAGAGAGTAACCTTTTTTTTCTTCGGAACAAGTGGGGGTGAGAAAATTTGAACTCATCAATTTTTAGTTAGAGACAAATATCAATTATCGTTGAGTTGAGCTAAACTAATACACTCATTTATGTACGGATATTAAAATATTTATTCAACAAAATATGGGTCAGATATCACCCTATGAATTATAAAAGAATTAAATCCTCAATCTAAAAAATCAATTACAAGAGTACTAATCTCAGACCATAGGAATACAAATTTCGCCATTTGGGAACCCATTGTCCAAAAGATTCTTTTAGTAGACTCCTATGATTTGTCCCACTTCATATAACACGTTCAAATGGTATTAATAATTTAACATTGTCAAGTATATTTCGTATATTTCTCATTCTCTTCAAGAAATAAGTAGGCTATTTCTCGAAGAAGTGTACTTGACTTCATATTTGAAAATTTAATCAAAATTTCCTGTTTAGTCAATGGAAAGATCTACGCTTGAACATATTTAATTTAAGATAAAATATAGTTTTAGTCCCTGAAGTTTGAAAATAAACATTTTTAGTCTCTAAAATTTAGAATCAATGTCTGGACGGTAGCTGAATAACAAAAGAAAAAAAAAAGTCAAAGTCATGTGAAAATGATCAATGGCATAATGCCATAAATCACTTTGCCAGCTGACCAAGCATAGATCACTTTGACAAAATGGAAATTTATTTGTGAAAATGAACAATGGCACAAATCCAACACTTTCTGTAGCAATAAAGATAGATGGCTACCATTTTCTTCCAAGAGTTCTAAGCATGTGGGATTTTAAATATAGCATCATTTTTACCATTCTCACAAAACCAAAACCAGTCAGTCTGCATATGCAAACTAGAGAATGGGGATTTCTCCTATTTTTACACAATCTAAGAGCCAACTGCTACCTAGACAAGAAATATTGTCTACTTGACAATACGAGTCCTACACAAAATTTGACTTCTAGAACTGTTCTATGCTCTTTATGAGCTCTGCCTTGCAGGTAGTCTTGTAGTGTCCGGTTTGATTACATCGACTACAATGCACGGTATGTTTCTCACGGTTCAGGTCCTCTACACAAATTCTCTTCTTTTCAGGCCGTCCTGGTGGTCGACGAAACTTAGGTGGTCGAATGATTTGTGCATTGTCATCCATGGGAGTTTCATCGTGTTTTTTCCATTCGAGTTTACCTGGAATGGGGTATATACCTTTTGCATATGTTTCCCGGTAACCAGAAACTGTAAAGCACTTCTCTGTAAAGGCATAGACATCTTTTCTACATGAGGCAATGGCTGCAACTGCATGAGAGCAAGGGATTCCATAGAGCTGCCAATCACGACAGGAGCAACATCGCTTTCCGATATTGACTATATCTGATCTCTCTGCTGATAGAACCTCAAACTCTACCTCATCGGATCGAAGAACTTGATACGAGGAGGCAAGGTTGATTGCTTCCATTATTCGTTTTTCAGCTGATGGGGTCAGGAAAGAATACCACGATGAACTCCTCGCACGCCGCTCTTCAAACTCGGCCATTAGTTTACTATGAATCCGCTCAATCACCTGGACGATGGGTAACTCACGTGCCTCGAGAATCCATTTAGTGAATTGCTCTATATTTGAAGAGAGATGTCCATACCGAGTTCCCTCAAAATAAACTAATGCCCAATGAGAGGGTGGAAATTGCTGTATCCACTTAGCAGCTTCCGGTGAAACCTCTTCTATTTCTAACATTCTCTCTTTGAAAGCAATTGTAGTTGTAGCATATGCCGCTTTCCACAGAAGATTAACAAGCCTCGAGTTTTTGAACTCTTTCCCCATACTTTCACTTAAGTAGCGCATACAAAATGCATGTGAAGAATTTCGGAATTGCCTTCTCAAAGCATCTAAAATTCCTTTTTGCCCATTTGATAAAAATGTGAGGTGCAGTATATTCTGAGTGTTCATCTCGAGTGCCTTGTGTAACTCTGACAAAAACCACATCCAACTTTCCTCATTTTCAGCATCAACTACACCAAAAGCAAGTGGAAATAGCCCACCATCAGCATCATAAGAAGTAGCTGATAGCAGAGTACCAAGGTATTTGCTTTTAAGCTGGATTCCGCCTAGCCCGATCACAGGGAAGCAACCATTTAGAAACCCGTATATGGATGCATAAAATGAAACAAAGAGTCGGTGAAAGCAATTATCTGAACCATTTGTGAACACTTCTGCAACAGTTCCAGGATTGGCTTTTCTTATTTGTTCACAGTACGCTGGAAGCAGACAGTAACCTTCTTCAGAAGAACCAAAAATTGTGGCAAGGCCTCGTTCCTTTGCTCGCCAAGCCTGCTTATATGGTATAGTGATACCATACTGCTTATGGATGTCATGTAATATATCCTTTGGTTTATAATGAATGTCATGCCGCAATCGCTCCTCTATGAAACTCACAATCCAATCTATGGAGGCCTGATGATGTCCATTTTGTGCATTTTGCCCACACGTATGTATCCCTTCAAGGCTTCTAATTGTGAAGGCTGGAGAATTAGGAAGCTTAACGGCACGAATGCGCCACGGGCAACCCTCTTCGGCACATCTTGCAAAATAACGTACCAAGTCACTCTTGATAATTCGTAGCTCAAAGTGCTGAGCAATAGCAGCTTCTTTAATTGCATTTCGAAATGCCTTGACATCAGGAAACTCTTGACCTACAACAAATGTATGATCCTCCATGTGAGGCAATCCAATCTCGGAACCAGTTGCTCTACATAACGAACAAAATTCTTTGAACTTTCTCTTTCCTTATTGCAATGAAGTGATTGAGGGATTTGTTTCCACGCAATGTTTATTAGACTCTTGGGATGTTCACAAATCAGCTCTCATAAGCAGGAAAAGGGTCTGAAAGAGCCATTTTAACACGATTTTATTTAATCTTGATAAATTTGGGAAAAGAGATGACTAATAGTTTAGATGGAAAAAAAATTATAAGAAAATATGCGAGAGCGAAAACAGAAACAGCCAGCTAGCTAAACAAAGAAAATGTATAGTGTTAAAAATGAACATGAAGCACCCATAGATGAACATGCATGTATGCATAAAGATTAGCCAATAAAGTAGTGTTCTCAAATGTAAAAGTAAGTTCGTTCTTTCAGGACATACTAAAAAAAAAAGTTGATCGTTTTTCTTTCTGATAATATAAAAGAAGTTGATTCTTGATTCTTCATATTAATAACTCTAACTCATTCTGGCTGAAGGATTCAGAGGTTCTCTATTAAATAAATGCTAGTGTCCAAGAACATACACTATAAATAGCCAGAAGATAGATTAATAGATAGCACTTTGGGTGAAATTCATTTTATTTCTTCTTTGTGAGCCTCTACTAATCCTGAATTTAGGATTGTATCTCTATTTATGGGTTCCTCTGATTGGGGGCATGTATCTGTAAGGGGGATTCAATGTACATCTTTTCTAGTTTTCTCCTCGGAGGGTTTTCTGGTTATTCTTGGCGGAACTTGCCTTGATGCCCTCATCCATACTTTCTTCAATCCTAGTGATTTTTATTTTATTGTTATTAATATTATTTTATAGTAGTAAAAAAAAACAAAAAAAAAATTGATATGGAGCTCACTGAAAAGTCGAACTAAGTTTGACAGTCTTCAGCATTAAATGAACAGTATGAAAATTTTCAAGTGCCATTGATTTCTTACTAAAAAACAATCAGAATTAACGGCCCAATCAGGAAAAATGCAGTAAAACTAAGACCAAATCTGCCTTTCTTCAACAGGGCCACAAAACTACAAGAACCGGAACTTCCGTGCAACAAAACCAAGCAGCTTCCAGACATGATTCTAAGATCTGAATCAAGCTTCTAATATAGAAATTAGGGTTCTATGGAGAAAAAGAAAAACGATGAACCTACATGCAATGCAAATGCCTGAACCGATATGCAAGTATAATAATAGATATCTAAAGTTGTGAACATAATACCGACCTAGAAATTGAGGCGGACGATGCAGATCGAAGCTTCACAGAGCGGAAAATGGAGGCATAGAGAGAAACAGAGTCAATCGCGCCGCCATGGGCGAGAGCGCATCCTCGGCATTCCGGCGAAAGATTGAGGTCTATTTAGTCATATCATACATCCCGGCTTGCTCTCAGTCGAGGGTATTTCCGTAATTTAGATAAATAGTGTTTGGGTTGAGAACTTCAGAGTAACTGCTTAGTCTGGCTCCTTTATAAATTAAAAGTTGATTTCTTTTATCTTCGTCTTTGTTGTACTGAAAAAAAAAAGAAAAAGAACAAAAAATCGATCGACTAAATATTATATATATATAAATATCAGTCTAGGGTTTTGTTCGGATTAATTATTTCGCTACTCACCTCACTCAAATCTCTCGAGTCTGTATCTCGGTTTTTTTCAAGTCTCTACGTTCTCTTACATCGCACTTCTCAACTCTCAAGTTTTTCACCTCTCTGCCTCTTCTATGTGGATAGGATGAATCTAAGATTTCTCTCAACTTTTTCTAGTCCCTTCTCTTGACAGAAACTTTAATGTTTGAGTTTAAAACTTAAATAGTTAAAATGAAACATAAACCAAATTTCAAGGACGATAAAACTTAAATAGTTAAAATGAAACATAAACCAAATTTCAAGGACGAAAAATATAATTTTGCTTTATGCTTCTATTGAGACCTGATAAAATAGTCCCACCCCACATCTCTTAATTTATCATTTTTTTGGTAAGAAGAGTTGAAATAGTTTAAAAAAATATTTGTACTTACAAGAGTTGATACCATTTTTGTATACTAAATTGCTACATTTTTTGTTAAGAAAATTTAGAGCAAAAACTAGAAGATGGAAAATTCATTCAATAAGCGAAAAGGCTTGATCTCTCTTTCTTTTTCTTGGAAGGGACATTTTCACTACTCCACCAGCCTTCATCTTCAACGTCTTAAAAATACAATTTGTAGCTCTCTGAAAACAAACATCAAACAGAAAAACATGTTAGAATGCATGGAGTTTTCTCATTCCACAAAGTAAAAAAATATATATATAATTTGGTCATAGACTTTTATACCTATTACATTTAAAAAAATATTTTACTCCGTGTTGTTACCATTTTTTTTTTCTCTTTCATTGGACAAATTCTCAAATTGTTTCAAAACTTTGTAACTACTATCCTATATGCCAAGGTTGAGATACTTATAAATGAATCAAATTTATCCAACCTATCAGCTTAAGCTTTTGAGTTGAGTGGTGGTTTATTCATCTTTAGAGAAGAGCTTTCACATCACCTTATGGTTGCACATAAACCGCCCTATGTTCGAGTAGCACCCGTCGCATATGACTGAGATCTGCACGCGGTACCATTTCCTAATCATTTTTTTGTCTCCTTCTGCTTTAGTAGGCCTAGGATAGTTCCCTGCTTGAATTCCATGCTGAGGGAAGACATTATTAAGGGTGCCATCAAAGTCCTCTATCGATTAGAATTTGGAAAGGATCGTGAATTTATAAGTAAGGACAATATCTTCACTCGTACGAAACATTTCAGGTAGAATCTAAAACTAAGTTCATGAAACTTGGGTTTAAAACGAAAAATATCATGTAGGGTAAGAAAAACGATTCTCCCAACAGATATATGAAGCAACAATGTAAGTTGTGCAATTTTGACAGTTAAGAGATAATACTTGGGAAGAGATGCAGCCTTTTCTCTTGGTCTTTGTACATAGAGGCCATTGTGGAAGCTTTTTCCTGTCACATTTGAATTGTTAGCTGTTTAAGGGATAAGGCAGCCGAACATATTTCCCATGCTTGTGTATGACATATCCAAAAACTTGTTGAGCATCAATATCCAACACACAATCTGCTCACAGATTCAACAAACAACCTTTAAACCTATGTTCAAATCTTGCATTTAAAAGCTACTGATGAGTTAATTCTCTTGCTTACCTTCGAGTCCCAACTCAAGTAATTTCAGACGGTCTCCTGGCTGAAGCACTTCCTTGATCATTCTATTGTGTGTTGTTAAATCTTGACCGATAATATGCACACGACGCCCATCCTGCAAGCCATGATATGTAATGATGAGTAAGTACATTGATGTTAAATAACCTGCCATGTTTTCTTCAATTTGTAGTTTAGCCTTGGTTGTGTTTTCGGTTTTAAGTATTGTATGATTGTTTAAATTTTATGGATTTAGTAAATGTTCTAACATTTCTGTTGTAGGGTCTGGATCTTACATGTTAGACTCAATATATTCATTACTTCAACACCAACAGAAAAAAAAAACAATCTTTCTTTCTTTCTAGTTATACTACATAAAAACTGTTTTAGGAGCGACGATTAAATGGCATTCATCTATGAAATAGGGAAGAAGAAGAAAAAATGAAAAAAAGAAAAAACTATTATTCTTTTGCACTCCCTAAAGTCCACACCTCTCGATATTGGTTACTAATTGGACAGCCAACATAACTTAATAGACAAGACATCACATCAATGTCAACCGAATCATCCACGACCTTTCTCTCTCTTGAATAAGACAAATCCCCGCGAACTGATCGCTCATTACTACTACTTTTTCACTCCTCCAAAATGAAATGTCTAACCTTGCCAAGACCAGAACCAGCAACACCTTCACCTTCACGAACAATGACCACATCACTTCTCCCATGGCTCTTGCTACATAAATCTCCATTTTCATGCCACTTTGCTTGCTGGTTTTGCTCTTCTTCCTTTGTCCTAGCTTTTTCAGAACAAAAAGTGCAAAACGTGAGGTTATAATTCCCAAGACCCAAACTAATTAATAAATCATCTCTCCAATCAATCTGAACCAAATTTGCATCAGTTTCTTATGGACTCCTCTGTTCTGTCTCTTTGGTTTCTTGTTGCCTATTTGAATGACTTCTTTCAAATGGTTTTAGACAGACGCCAAGAACTCTGAACTGTTTCTTAAGCCCAAAATGCATGGAGGCACACACTTATTGTGTGTTAAATGATTTTTTATGTTAAAAAAATGGATTTATCTTACGATATTTATACTTGATATACGGGCTTAAATTATATTTTGATCCCTAAATTTTCGCTCTTATCTTGTTTCTGTTTCTAAACTTTCGAATATTTTATTTTAGCCCATCAACTTTCAAATATTATATTTTAGTACTCGTCAATATTCAACATTCAAATGTGATGTTGAACACTTAGATTCATAGAAATATAGACAGGTCGATGCATCGTTTGTTCCATAGTATCCACTTAGGCCATATTTTTCCTCTTTACTTTTAAACTAGTATTTGAGAAAATGACCACAATACTATTCAGTAATGCATATAGTTAGGGTTTTCTTGCTTCTGAAGGATAATTTATGAGTCCACAAGATAAGAGTCTTTTTCTCGAATAATAATTCGTTATGTTGTATTTCTATAACATGATAAGCATTAGTTCAATTTATTCACTATTAACATGAAAGAATATTGTAATTTAGAATAAGAATCGAAACAGATTGTCTTTTGCTTGATTCTACGCTGAAGGGAAACTTTGTCAAAGTTCCAGTAGATCACATATCATAAGTCAGGGTCGGTTGGCACGTGTGAGTCCAACTTTCGTGAGAGAGACTAGTTTTTCATGGAAGGATGTGTAAGCTAAGCCCCACCCACATTTGCATCACATACGTCTATGTATTTATAAAAACTCCATTAGCAGAACTAAATATTTTCAATATTTACCCACTTATAAACTGTGCATGTATTTTAGCAGGTGATGCTGGTGAGGACAAGACTATCTATTTTCTGCATAAGTGTACTATAGTAGCATATCTATTCTATTCAATTTCATTGATGGTATGAAATTAGAAAGGAGGGAGAAAGCTCCCATCCAAGGAAGTTACTAAAAACTTCTCCAATCTATTTTACGTTTCCAATCCTAATGTTTTTCTGTGTAGTATAAAACCTACTAAATATTTTAGGTAATATTTTTCATTTTGAAGTTTTCTAACTCATTGGTTCGACACAAAGGATCCCATCTATTTTCTATGTAAATTTACATTCACTTGTTTAAATTACAAACTTTACTAGAGCACACTAGTAATCATATAAGAATAATAGTTTATTTTGATACTATAGGAGATGTGATTGCAATTACAAGTGTATAGTTTTTTTTCCCTAAATATGCAGGCTCAGATCCTTCATAATTATATTTACAAGTGGAAGTTTCTGCAAATTGTGCACCTTTTAACAGGTTTTTTTCTGATCTTTTTGGTCTTCCATCTTTCTGGCAGGAGGAGCCCTGTAATATGCAGGCACAGTGGAGGGGAAAAACATCTGTCTAACTCCTTCAGCCTTAATTATGGGGAAAACAATGCTTGATGCAACCTGGAAAAGGAAAAAAAAAAACCAAGAATTTTGGGGTTGGTGATCAGAAACTTGTGAACAAGATAGACTCAGTCAAGTGTGTGATGTAGATGTTTAGTATCAGACAACATACATAGATAAGTCGCACTCCGAGCCATAAGCGCTTCGGTGAAGGAAATGGAAGCAACAGCCGCCCAACGCCATAAACGGCCACAGCAAAGAAATGAAAAATTAAGCTGAAAGGGCAAGGATTTAGACCAGAGAGTAGAGATATTGGTCCAGATGAAAATGCGCCTCCAAGGCTTAGATAGTTGAAACATGCTTGTTGCATCTCCTTCCTTGCTGGATCAGGCGATGCACAGAAGACCTTATACAAGGCTTCTGCCAATGTGTTTATTGTGGAAGCCAATGGCTGCAAGGAAGTTAGAGTTTCCAGGGCAGTTAATCGGAATCCAATCTCCATTTTTCTTCCAAGATGAATTTATACGTGTGATGTTAACTAGTGAAGAATTGATGTTAACTAGTGAAGAATTGAAGAGTTTGAGAAACCTTTCGGAGGGTGTAGAAGGATTCAAGATACTTGCATATTGCAGCAGCATCATCCAAATCCTGCAATGGTCGAAGAAGGTCTCGGAGTATAACAATGTCAGAAAGAGCCACAGTCATTCCTCCTCCAGTTAAAGGATGCCGCATATTCAATGCATCACCCATCAGAAGGGCACCGGCAGTCGGATGGGGTGCAGCAGGCATACTTCTGTTTGTCATGCTTTTGATTTTTCCCTTTTCAATTGCAGCAATGAAGGAATTATACAGCTGAGGAGGCACCTAACACATGAAAAGTCCTTTAGATATAGTTGAAGGAATTCAGTTAAGCCAAACAGTATCGGAAAAAAAAAAGGGGGAAAGAATATTGGATCCAAAGAGGAAGTTCAAGAATTCAAATGACATCGCTTAGTTCAAGCATTTGACCTATCACACACAACAACATTATATATCAATCTCACTTTGACACTTGCACAAGCACGACGCGTCATGTAAAGAATATGTGAGTTGACAATATCAAATTTGATTCCGTTGAATCATCAAGTTATAGCATATATAAGATTCAGCTAAACATGATATGCCCATTGAATCTAGTAGGATCCGTCATGAAGATTATCTACAGTATGCATCAAAAGGAATCTGCAGACACCTGAGGGGCGACAATTGTCCGCAAGTAGTTAGCCATTTCACCATTGGCAACTGAAGGTACTTTTTGGCCTGGGACATCAACTAAGCACCGTATTTCAGTGCTGCTTATAGGATAAAACAAGATAGGAGATGGATTTTTCAAGATAACATGTCCATGATTTGCATATGGCAAATTGCAGTTCTCCAAGATTAGGCCAACAAAGCATGAAGGAATTTCAACCTGCAAAATTTTATTACTGATGTCAAAGTCAGCCGAGAGCTAAATCGGTGACATTATAGCTAATTTGCCTGTCGAAAGCATGGGACAAAAACGAACAACCAAAACTAGATCATACAGGAAAAAAAAAAATACATTACTTAACTTTTCCCCTTTCACCGATGCTATGTAAAAACTTTTAGGTGATTTGTGGAGATTGGCATAGCATGTTACCTTAGGATCGCAAAGGCTGCACCGCAAATTTGAAAAGCATCCGTCGCAAACTATAGTTAGAGGTGCATAAGCTTTCAGCTCTTGACCAACTTTAGTTTTGTACTGCACTCCTTTAATAATGCCATTTTCTTCAAGCAATGATGTCACTATTCCTTGTTCCAACTTTACACTGGACAGATGTCATAAAATGTCGAAAAAATTAGGAAATGTTCAAACATTTACAGATCACCAGCAAGTCATTAATCAGAATGCTCATTGCCCAATAAGTTTGAAGATCACAGAAATTAAAATTTTATTGGAAGTGAAATGAACAGCTAGGAAGGAAGTGGGGAATACTTTGGTAGAGATGTAGCCTTTTCCCTCAACTTTTGTATGAACCTTCCATTATGAAAGCTTCTTCCTGAAACATCAGAATCAAAATTTTCCAAAGGATAGGCCAATTTGGTGTTCTTTCCATCCTTGTAAAGTGCATATCCAAGCACCTTCTGTGCATCAATATCCTTGACACAATCTGCAGCCACATGAGACTAACTGAATAAGAAACATTTTTGCAACTTCCCATTCATGGTGAACTTTCGGGATCATACAAGCTGTTACATAAAGTAGAACAGACAAAACTTAGAGGTTTGTAAATCTAAAATCACTATTCGCAAACTCATGGTTTTGGAGGAACACGATCTTCAATTGTTCTAAAAACAGGTCAGGAGACAATAAGAGTGCAAATTTTCAAAAGAGTTAGTTATATGAACATTTCACTTAATTCTTGTAGAAGAAAGCAGAAAGTTGTTTCTGAGAAGGAAAAAAAAAGGCGTCTTAATTTCTTTCTCACCCTCTATACCCAATTCAATCAACTTCAGATAGCCTCCAGGTTGCAACAACTCTCCAACCATTCTATCAGGTTCTCTGGAGAACCTTTCAATGATATGTACTTTTCGACCATCCTATGCGACAATAACTGTAAGATTAAAAAGATTATAAAAAAAGGAAAAAAGAAAAAAGAAAAGAAAGAAAGAAAGAACACATGAAGATCATATTCACAAGGATCTTCTTGATGATTTTGTATTCAGTTTCTTTTAGATATTTGGTCTTACAATCTTAATAAAATGTACCTCACATAGATCATGCTAAATGCCATAACCATGTTGAACTTTCTAAAAATTGTTTGAAAAGTTAAATTTTATTCTTTATGTATGCATTTTAATTTTTTTTATGTACACGGGAAGTAGAGGATTCGAACTCACTCATAACCTTGGTTTTAGACCGATACTAAGATGTCAATTACCATTTTACTAAACTCATGGCGTATGTATATTAATTTTATTTGAACTTCTTTTTCTTTTATCGAAGATAAATGTCATAACTAGACTTTGGCTAACTTATATAAGACATAATTTGTTATCAAACTACAAAGAAAACACATGAAAAATATATATGTATTACTTCTATTTTTACTTTTTTTTTTGTTTTGGCTAACTTATATAAGACATAATTTGTTATTAAACTACAAAGAAAACACATGAAAAATATATATGTATTGATTCTATTTTTACTTTTTTTGCTTTCAAAGCCAAAACGAGCATAGCACACGATAATTGGCATATATTTCCAACATGAATTTTGACCTCCCACCAGCACATGTTGTACTAAAACATACGTGCTGTTTTTGCTTTAAAAATATTGTAAAACTAATATATTATTCCATTAAGCGGTCTGGCCAGTAAATTAAAAAACCAAGCCTACATGGGTTCGAACCATTCCGGCCCATTTTTCCACCCGGATTGTCCTTCTCACAAGTCACAGATCTAGAGAGCTTAATTTGATTTTCTACTCTGTTTGGCTGGTGAGAAAATCAACGGGAAAATTCATACTCAAACCCGTGATAGACATAGAAAAGGAAAAGAAAAAAAAGAATGAAAAAGTTAGTTTCATTCATCTGATATCGTTTCCTGTTTTCTCATCAACCAAACAGAATCTCAGTTCGGAATCATAAAACCTCGGAGACGAGAAAAAGGAAAAGCACCTTGCCGAGAGTGTAAGCAAGAGCCGCGCCAGCTACTCCGGCACCGACGATGACAATGTCTCTGTTTCCCCCGACCGCCGGCCGGCAGACGCAATTCTCCGGTGACGTTTTCCCGCAGCCATTTGTTATTATTTCGACGAATGCTCCGGCCTGGTTCTTCTTCTTCTTCTTCCTCCAATTAAAGAAGCTTCGAAAACGATGCAGATTTTCCATCGACGAGAGAAATTGATCGGAAAATCCGAAGGAAACTTGCCAGGTTGTGCGCGCGCCTAAAATCTGCGGCATTTTCTCGTACGTGAGAGTTATGAGCTTCAGTTGCAACCTAACTTTGGAAGGACATTGAATTGAAGGAAGACGATTTTCGTAGGGTCAAGGCCCAAGCTTCATTTTATTTGACCAAGAAAAGTTTCCTTGTGATCATTTTATTGGTTACTGCACAAAATGTGTGCGCTTTTTTTTTTCACACAACAGTTAGTCAACGAATTAAATTTCCGCGGCCTGGATATTTTCCTGCGTCTATAAATTTGATAAATATATATTTTTATAATATTTAAAAAAATTAATAAAATATCAACAAAATAACTTTAGTATAGAGTTATTTTAACTTAGAAATTGCGAAATACTTATTTATTAATTTCAATATTGTTTACAAATTTTTTATATCTATAACCTTCCTAGAAATATTCATCCATATTGATATTTTATCCCCTAACTATAGATCAAATCCACTAGACGAGAAATTCAATTCTGCACTGCTGCTGAGTCGTCGGACTTATCCACCAAGAGATTCTTTGAATTTTTGTCGATTGCGATGGAGGAAATCTCTTGGACTCCTTCCCCACTATTAAGGGAGAGCAAGAAAAAAAAATCAATGATTGCTTTTTAATCAATGCTCTTTTTCTTTTGGGTATGCAGGTACTAAGAGTCCTCTCACTACCGACCAGCGACATTTCTATCCCCCTTTCTGTATGCAGGTACTAAGAGTCCTCTCACTACCGACCAGCGACATTTTTATCCCCCTTTCTGTGAAATTGACACATTGATGTTTAAAGCCTTGCAGTCATTAGAGATTTTTTTTAATATTATTATTTTTAAAATATTTTAACTTCAAAATTTGTTTAAAAAATATTGTTTATGGTATGAAGGGAGTCATGTTGTCATTAATTTTATCTCTCTTTTTCTGTTTAGGATAATTTTATCTTTCCCTTAATTTTAGTTATTTTCGTTTTTTGTTATCTGAGATGTCTTCTACGTGAGTACATGCTTTATTTGCTCAATTTGGCAGGATTTTTTACGCTTGTTGGTTAGCGTTGGAAATGATTTTCAAAACCGTGCATTCTCTTGAAGATCGGAGCAAGGTTTTAAATTTTGATATCAATAAAAATGTCGAGATCCCAATTTTATAAAAATGTCAAAAATTCATTAAATAAAGTTATAAAAAATCATAAAAAAATATTTAAATTAATATTTCACATCTTTTCAATGAGTTAAAAATGGTTAATATTAATTATATATTAAGAATATTTTATTGATATTTTCTACATTTTATCGATTTTTTTGTCGAAATGTCAACGTATCGACGAAAATTTAATACCCTAATTGTTTACGCTTCTATTACTCCATATTTGTATTAGTTTCTAGGGTTTTTTTGATGGCCCACATCCCATTCCAAATAAAACTCCATCCCTTTGTTTTTAAAAATTTAGCATATAAATACTCCTTTCATCCATGTATTTATTTATTATGTTATTTTTTTAAGTACAAATTTGTTATGTTATCTACTTCTAAAAATTGTTTTCAAAACCTAAGTCAAATTTTAAAAACTAAAAAATATATAGATAGTTCTCTAAAAGCTTGTTTTTATTTTCGAAAGTTGGCTAAAAATCCAAATATGTTAAAAAAAAATAATGAAAACACACCGGAGAAATTGGGGTGAAGCAAAGTATAATTTTAAAAAATTTAAATAAAATAAAATAAAATAGTTATTTTTCAATTACAAAAATCTGAATCTTTCAAACGGAAGAATGACAGTTTTTCCCTTTGGATGAAAAAAGTGATGGAAACCCCCCTTCCACATGCATCGTTTTGTTTTTTTCAATTCAAACACCAGTAGACCCTTATTTTTGTACTNCCCCACTTGGGTGTCCTTAATAGAGGCTTTACAAAGTCTTCAACGAGCGCCTAGATGACAAGTGCTTGAGCGCCTAGATGACAAGTGCTTGAGCGCCTAGATGACAAGTGCTTGAGATATTTGAGATCGATTAAATTCATGTCTTCATATTCATAGTAGTAAGGTGCCTGATACCACATACATAAATAAATTAAAAGAATGGAAGATTTTCTTTTATGGAAAGCCGAGCTTTCACCGAGAAAAATGAAATAATAAAGGACATAAAAAAACAGTCCAACAAAAAGGAGCCAAAATAATCAATCAAACCTAGAAAAAAAGAATGTAAGGTTCACAAGAGTGCCTTTCTTTCATCTACAAAAGATCCAATAAAAAACATTTTGAAGAATATGGAAGTATGGAAATTAAAAATGGGGATAAGTATTATAATAGTCCCCTTGGAAGTTTTCTAACCTTTACATTTCAGAAATAGCGAATGATCAAGCATTAACGCAACAAAGGCAATAGTAAGTAAACACATGCCACCAGAAAATACTTTAGCAACCGCAATTTATTCAAATCTTGAAAACTTATTTTACGAGTTGAATTGTAAGGAACATACTTGGAGTGTTATTATGGTTCGTTCTTCTGGAGGATGTTCTTCAGCTTCTCGTTCGCAGCCACGAGCTCTGCAGCTATTCCAGGTTCATTGGCAGAATGGCCTGCGTTTTGAATGATCTACATAGAGAGGGAGGTAAGATTCGTCAGCATTTGAGAATAATTTAATGATATATATACATATAGAGGAATGCGTCGGTAAAATGGTAAAGATTTTTTGGCAGTAATATATTAGATATGCTCCAAAGTGCTAGTTTCAAGAAGAAGAAGGTGCTATGGATAGACTTCGTTAGAGCCTGTTTTGGAATCCTCTAGCTCGAAAGTAACAATAGAATCTTCAACGATTTCTTTACAAAGTTTCTTCTTCTTTCAACAATAGTATTAACACTCTTATGATAAACTGGAATAATTTTCTTGTAACCTCCTTTGGCGCGATAGTTTTCCTCCCCTCTTATTAATTTCATATATTCTACGAAATTTTTTCGTACTGTAAAAAAAAATCAGTTCGAGGGCAGTCAGAACAAAAGCTGCATCTATGTTTTAGTACTTTTCTTTGAGTTGTATGTTTTAGTCATGTTGTCCACAATGAAAATAGCTAATCCATAATTTGGCTCTTGATCCTTGACACAGAGTGAAAATACTAAAATCAAAAGTATGGACAAGTTGAATAATAGCCCTTAGTCCAAATATCATGCCATAAATTTCTAGTTCCTGTGAGGATTCTTCTCACTTTAATCAACAGAAAAGCCCGAAGGCGATACAAGCTACCCCACCTATTCAAGAGGGAGAGTAGCTACCTTTTAGCACTCACAACAAGAATGATCCTCCCCTCACTTACACCTTCCCTTTTCTACTGCTTTCTGCCCTCATACATTCCTGGGCCCCACTCTGCAAACCATTATTCTATTCCCCCACTCATTTTACTCATTTACCCCAAGTATAATTCCCCTTCCACCCTTTCTATAGTAGGTCTTCACTATTGGTGGCCTAACAGTTCCACGTTGATATTAAGACACTATAACTTAGATAGGCCACGTTGATATTAGGGTATTAAGGTATCTAAGTGATTAGTTAGTCATTTCCAAGCTTCTAAATGCTAGACTTATCTCTCAGTTTCCTCCTGTTTCCTATATTTCTCATAAGTGATTAGTTAGAAAAGTTGTTAAAAAGGATTTGTTATAAATAGAATGAGGAGGGAAGGGATGAAGGTAGGCAATTATTTAGTGTGGTTTAGGCTTGATTGATCTCAAGAGGAGAGGGTCCAAATATCTTGAATTACTTAGAAATTATTGTAGTTCTTCTTTTTTATATATTTTAATATATTTCTAGTTGTTTGGGTTCTAGAAATTATTGCAGTTCTTCTTTTTTATATATTTTAATATATTTCTAGTTGTTTGGGTTCTATCAAAAACTTGAAAAATTCAGATTGATACATTCGCGTAGCCAAATGAAAGGGAAGTGTTGGGAGATAGGAACCTATATTAGACGAAGAAATGGACTGCAGCAGTTTCGTTTTACCTTTAACTCAGCCTCTGGCCACACTTTATGAAGATCCCAAGCCGACATCATTGGGCAGCAAACATCATATCTTCCCTGCAAGATAAAAAGTAGCTCCACTGACTACATAAAACTATAACTCAAAAGATGAAAATGATTGCCTCAAATTCTTGAACTTCTTTCTTTTAATAGGATAACACATCCAATCAACCAAAATAGGCAAATACGTTGGATGGGATAGGCACATGCACCAGTACAATTATAGCATTGATATATTGGATGGGATAGGCAAATGTACCTGTACAATTATAGCATTGATATGTCGTATCTTGTCAACATTATCTAACAGAAAGGAATCAGAAGGGAAAAAACCCTTATTTATAAAGTAATGGTTTTCAATCCTTGCAAACGCCTGGGTCAAAGCAAAAGAAAAGAAACAAAAATCACCAGTTACATGACCAGCAAAATAACATCACTCAAGTTGAGAAATTCAGAATACGAAATAGCTAAAGAAAAATGATTGAGTAGAACAAAAAAGATATCCTAATTTTTTACACTCATATACCATCTCATTTTCCACATTGGTTAGAATCTTTCCCAAAGGCATGATCTCTGAGTACAACTTGCTATGAACACATTCTATCTACCTCCACCTTATTTGTCACTCAGCTATTTCATGGCTTCCCCCCTTTTCTCGAACAGGAGAAAACCTTTTCATTGAGTTAGTAAAAAGTTATACATAGTGCAAAGCAAAGATCCCCTACGGTTTTTTCAAAAAAATAAAAAAAAGAACTAAGTAGAGCCCCTCTTGGGACAATATCAGAAGGAATCCTCACTGAACGATGACTTACATGGTCTTCTTCCCCACAAAACTATTCAAAAAAACCTCCTAGAAATACTAAAATCCCATCAAACAACAACTAAAAAGAACTCCCAAAAGCTTCCTATCCTAGTTCCTACAAAGGCATCCTTAATCGTTTGTAATTCCGTAGAAAATCTTCCTATGACTTCCTTCTTTTTCAGCCCACTTAGAATTGGTGATATCACCTTACCCCTGCCTAAATTCTTCAAATAATCAAGGAAACCAATCATTGAAGAGATTTCTCAATGAAAGCTTTGTTTCTTATCAAAAAAATAAAAATAAAATATTTGAAGAGATTTTCACCTGCTTATTTAATATGAATGTACAAGTAAAGAACAATTTACCAATGAAAAATTATCATCCTCTCCTCTCTTAATATTCTCCTCGTTTGGCATAAGATGAGCAGTCATCATTTCCCATTTGGTCCACGCTCTTGCAGCAGCATACTGGAAAATCAGTGGAGAGTTATAGCAAACAAAGATGTAATATATAAAGTTTAACTCATGACTCGAAGGAAATAGTTGGGAGAAAACTGTATTTCCAGCTGCTAATATATGACTACTTCAATAGCATAAGATACGGTTAAACAACCGTAGTGAGGAAGATAGCAGTCTTCTAAAAATTCTATTTCAAAAAAGAATTCTAACATTTATTAGGTTCACATAGAGTGGCTGACAATTAATCTATCCTCAATATTTAAACTGTTTTCATCATGCTTGATACAACTTCTAACTTCATGATCGAATGAAAAATAGTAAAAAAGAAAACAGAGAATAGTTAGATGGCTAAATCAACAAACAAAATTAACTTTCAAATTTTACCATATGCCATCAGCCATCAAACTCAATCTTAACCATGCAGCAATTGTAAAGATGAAAGTGCTGCCATCACTTTTTAGCAAAATATTTCCTACATGCATGGCTGACAGATTCTCTTCTCATATGAATGAAATTTAATATTTTCAGATGTATAAGAAAAAGTCGGCGTGACGAACAAAGAAGTCCAAAAGAAGAAACTTGATTCCAAATATTAACTTAAAATAAAGATGAAGGAATCTTATGAGGAAAAATACTAGCCATTAGGGGTGTAATCGGTTATGGTCGGGTCGTGTTTTTGGGTAGGGTCGGTTTCTTTCACCCCTACTAGCCATGCAGCTAATAAATCGGATGATAGAACTTACTTGGGTTTCCATGTCATTTGAATTTAGTCTCTTACTATAAGCATCAACAAAACATCCTCTCTCACTTTCGGGAATGAGGTCTCTAAAAGACTCCCAAGCTGCATTTGAAGAAAAGACTAAGTGAACACAACAGTAAATGTCCGTTTTATTACAAACCATTTTTTTCATAATTGTTTCATCCATCATAAAGATTAGAAGCATTATAATGTAAAATTTTGTACCCTTGGAACATCATCAAATTTGATTCACTGTGTTAAATTAAACACTCTTTAAATAACAATTTCATAGATCATATCATTGTACAGTTCTGTGAGAGCGAAATCGGTGAATAAGCATACCGTCAGGATATATAGCAGCAGCACCACCTTCATAGAACCAATCAACTTCTTTTTTACGCAGAAGAAAGATCCCTCTAAGAACTAATCCCGTAACCTTGGATTAAACCAAAAATCATATCATCAAAACTGCAAAAATGTTGAGGAAATTCTTATAGTGCCATGTTTCCCAAATATAGGGAGTCCCACCGCGGAGGAGAATGATAAACTTGGCAAATGTGTGCACCTTTTCAGGATGAGATTGACCATAAGCAAGAGCCAGCGTACTACCCCAGGAACCTCCAAAGACCTATGCAACCACAAATATTACTGAGTTGTACGCTCACTAAAAAACTTTGTTGATTAGACTGACATTAATCGTGATTGTGGTATCAAGATAAGGAAGGGGAGGGGGAAGGAGCTGTTCAAGAAATTGTGACCTGCCACTCTGGAATTTCCAAGTGTTCTCTTAGCTTCTCAATGTCATCAATGAGGTCCCACGTGGTATTATCCTCCAAGCAAGCATGCGGGGTACTTTTCCCTGCACCTCGCTGCAAGAAATGAGATATTTCTAACTTTAGGGATTAACCATACTAATGGTCCAAAATAAAGACTGAGAAGAAACCTGGTCAAACAAAATAATTCTATAAAAATCTGGGTCAAAGAATCTTCTATTGCCTGGAGCAGTTCCTCCCCCTGGTCCCCCGTGTAGAAACACCACTGGCTGCACGAACAGTTAAATTAAATGATTAATTTGAATCTGAATTTTACGTATTCAACAATTTACTATATCTGATAAAGCCAAGTAAATAAGAATGTTAACTGGTTTGTTTTACAGCAATGATATCTGTAAAACGTGCCATTAAACACTGCAACTCTTCAAGAGCACGTCCATTTTAATAGAATCTTAAGCCATACCTCTAGCTGCATCAGCCAACTTTTAATATGTCTCCTAGCTACTAGCAGCTTGCATTGGATGAAATGCATTAATATATTTCTTTTGACTTCCACGTTCCAACCAAATATAATTTAAAAACTTTTCCAACTTGTTTGCATGACAGTCCCAAAGATCAAAGTAACATTGGTGACTCGCTCTCGAGTATATCACCAGAAATGAGGGATGGTCATAACTCATATTAGAATGGATTTATTGGAGACAAATATCTTTTTCTTCCTAATCAGAATTTCAACAGTCTGTTGGCAAAAATTTCCGAGGAAAAATGAATAAGGAATAATCTAATAGGAATGCATACTTCTTCATCTGCATGAGGTGCCCATGCCATACTTCTAAATTAGGCAGTTGTGAAGTCGAATATTTAACAACAGAAAATGATGTAGGACTGGGCTCTCAAAGCACAAATGCACAATGCAGCATAAAGCAACAATCTTCTTGCTTGCATGGAGGCATGAGGCACAAAAAAGCATTGCCCAAGTATGTTGTAACAGGCACTATATTAAAATTTATATATATACATTGAATAGATAAAGAAATACATGATAATATTACATAAAAAAAAATATTCAGGGTTGGGCATAACATATAAATTTTAGAAACAATATAGCAATAGAAAAGGATTATTTAGGAAAAATCAGTAAACGTATACGACCGGCCATGCTACATGAACTATCTATATTTATTTGATTAATTACTTTAGTGACCTCTCTTATACTCAAAATAAATGAGATTAGTCAAATGCACTACAAAAACATAAAGATTATCTTTCTTTCTTAAAGCATAGATGACAAAACGCAGCTATACAATCGCCTAAACATATCTGCTCGCCCTGGATGATCCTAGGACCAAAACACTACTTAGGAAAATTATTCCCGCATCAAAAACAGCCATCAGCTTCATCAATCTTTGTCTAAGATCCAAATTTAAATTTATTCAGAAACAGTCAACCAGCCAATTATTGGCAGGGCTAGTAAATATGAACAAAGAATGGAAATTTATTTTTTAAAATTGGGAAAATTCAAACGTGGTTGTGTGGTAGAATATACTAACATGGCCAGCGGGATTCCCCGATTGCTCCCAGTAAATAGTATGAATATCTGACACCTTCAAAAAACCATTACTGTAAGGCTCTATTGGTGGGTAAGGGTTTCTGTTTACTTCTGAAGATTCCTTTTCTCGAGCCATCAAATCCTCCGTTTGGAACTCACTCAGTCTATCGCTCTTATAACCAAAATGTGCACTCAAGACCAAGCCCTTTCCCCCTGCAGTATCAAAATACAAAAATATTAATTTCTGACCCACCTATCCCTCGCGCTCCTCACTACTGGAGAAAATAGCTCAAGGAGAACTTTGAATCCAAAAGGATAGTTTCAAAGACACTTTCAACTTTCAAGTTCAGCCGAAAACAATAAAAAAAACAATTAAAAAAAAATCAGATAATCAAACAAGAACTCTGGAGACATACATTTCAGTCTATCTGATTCTACTATCCGTTTCCATGCACATTCAATCTTGCAATTTCAATTCAAAAATTCAATCAGTTTTTTCCCTTTCAGAAAGAACAAATCACCGGGAGTCATATTCAAATTCTCAGAATTTAGAGGTTTCGTTCCACAGTAATATAATACTTTACTTCCGAAAATGAACGTCTGATATGAAAATTGTAACTAATAACTCCTCCGATCAGTCAACTTGTAAGTTTAATGATTTACGAAGACAAAGGCTAAAACATAGTTAAAAATGAACACAAAAAAATGCATCAAACATGTTGTTTAAACTGATATCGTAGTTTATCCATCAAAATTCTGGAAAACAAACCAGTAAAGTACACTAATAGAAAGCCAAGCTGCCAAATCCAGTACAAGAACTTAACAATGTAATAGACTAGTAAATTATGAAGAAATACGGTTAAAATGAAGAGACGAATCACTGAAAATCAAAATACCAGAAACAGAAATATAGTGGTGGTGGAGAAGAATACCTGAGACGGAGAAATGGTTGGAAACACGAGAGACGGAGCAGAGGCGGATGCAGTGACGACGAGAATGCGAATTGGAAACGGAGGAAAACGGATGAGAAGAGGAAATGTTAGGGCAAAAGCCTAAGCTCATCGTC